AAAGGCATACATGTTTATAAGTGTAACGAGTTCGTATGGCGGAGGTACACCCAAACAAACGGCGAAAATTATTTCGAATGATTAGGTCGCAGAAGTGGGAGATCCTTGAACACGACCACGGAGATGTTCTCTTCAAAATTGGAAGGGGGGTAGCTGGGCAAAGTCATACTTTCACCTGATGGAGTTCATAGCCCATGCAAACGACAGGTGCAATTTTGTTCGCCTTGCCACGATAAAATTTGTCCTTATTAGGTCATACAAGTGAGATTAACCACGACAACAACTGACAGCTTTCGTAAGATGCATGCAATCAAGTTTGAATGAACAGAAATGTGATATGTTGAATAGAATTATAAATAAAAAAAAAAAAAAAAAAAAAAAAAATTCTTTTAATCGAAAATTCAACTGAAAACTTCATGTATAGATAGCAACTAAAAGTGTATACAATTTTTTTCGATATATATACACTACTGGCCATTAAAATTGCAACACTATGAAGGAAAGCAAACACAAAAATAGATATGTATTGTGCGCAAACAGTAGGCATGAACACAAAATGATCAAATTTGTAAGCAGTGTGGGGTTTAAAGGAGTGTGAAATTAGCAGAAACAGCTGCGAGCTGTGGCAGCAAAAACGGCCCTTACCCGGATAGGCATAGCCGAACTGGGCTTGGATGACAGAAACAGGCAACTCATTCCATGCTGCTTCAAATCTATAACACACTTCATTAACCGTATTAGCTGGAGAGGGAAGGCGGACTAGTCTCTCAGCAACACATGACCAGGTGGTTTTCAACGGGTGACAGATCTGGAGACCGTGCAGACTGAGGCAGCACTCGAATACCCTGTCCGAACAGGACGTACAACATGTGGTCTTGTATTGTCTTGTTGGAAGATGACGTTTGGCAGGCCTCGAAGATAGAGCACAACTACTGGACGTAAAATGTCAGAAATGTACCGATCTGCGTTCAAATTACCATCGATCGGAACTAGAGATGTGCGTGTCGTGTAACCAATAGCTGCCCAAACCACCACACCAGGTGCAGGGGCCCGATGTCGATATCGAATGCAAGCAGGTGAGGTGCGGTCTCCTGGGAGCCTCCAGACACTTGTGCGGGCATCAGAATACTGCACGCAGAACCGGGACTTGTCTAAAAAGACGACATGGTGCCACTATGTTGTATCCAGCTTTGACGCTCGGCGCACCAGTGTCGCCGTCTCTCTCTATATATACTGCATTGTCAAGGGAAGCCGAAATAATGGTCTCCGTGCTGATATTCAGCGCTGCTGCAAACATCAACGCACCCTACGAGAGGATACTGGGCGTGCTGCCAACATGTCCATTTCGTGCCTAATGATCCTTGACATGGTTGTACGCTTTTGCAGGGCTGACCTCACAATATGTCTGTCCTCTCGAGCGTTAGTCGTGAGAAAACGTTCAGATCTTACATGCCCTTCAGTATGACCTTCAGCAATACATTGATTCCATATTCGTATGACAGTCGTTGGATGTTGACCTGTGTGACGGTCGATATCAGGTAACGATAATCCACACTCTCGATGGGCAACGATCCTGCCTCTATGGAATTCCGATACTTGTTGGTAAGCATTTCTTTTTATATTATTTGAAGCATAACACGATATTCTGAGCAAACTCCGACTTTACAAAGCATTTTCCGAATTAGAAATCCATTAAACAAGTTTTCGTTTATGCAATGCTTCAGATGTGTTTTCTCCCTCCTGCATCTTCTAAATGCGCCGAAATACTAATCATTTGCATAAACCGACTTTCATGAGATTTTGACGTTCGTCTGATTATTCCTTCCTGGTGCTGAAATTTTAATGGCCAACTGTGTGTATCAGTTTGTTCCAGTACTTCATGTAGTTGGCACTACTGACAAAATCAAACTTATGTTTTAATTTATGTAAGCTGTCGTTTTTCGTCGTCCGCAGAATTCCTGTAAAACTGATTTGGAACTTTAAAATTCAATTTCAGAACATCGTAGAAATGAATGTATGTCCCTTTTGCGAACAATATATACATCTACTATTATTTTTCCTTTTTTCATTCTTATTCTATGAAACGTAAAATACATACTATTTACTGGCTTGCAGGGCTCAAAAGAAGCACATAATTACAGAAGCGCAGCTAGAGGGTAGGAAGGGGCAACATTTGTAGCCCGGCCGTGTCACCCAGTGGATGCCAAACTGATGTTACGTATTTTTGAATTGAAATGTTTTCCACTGTTAGCAAACAGGCGGAACGCGCGATCTTTATTTAACCCCGAGCGCTAAAAACCCTAGCTATAGCTCTGCATAATAAAAAAGGCAAAGGAAGGAAATGAAATTAATTTGGTATCTTATGTATTTATTCATAACTCAAACAATTCACTGTGATCCTTTTGGGCACTTTTGATGACACTGCGATCCTATCTCAAAGTGCATTTGCTAATCCAGCTATGCAACGCCTACAAGATTACATACATACATTTGTCTGGCTGACCAAGTGGAAAATTAAAAAGCCAATTTCGAGAAGACACAAGCTACACTCTTTACGAAGAAAAGGAAGTTCAAAAAGAACCTGCAGCTATATCGAGTGCCTATTCCCTGAGCCAAGCAAGTCCTTTATCATGTGGTGATTCTCAGTAAAACGTTTTGGCTAAAGTGCAGAATCGCCCACTTATTTGGCGTGTTATCTTTGGCACTTTTTACGAGATTGATAAGTGTGCCAAATGGGGTATCCAAGTCGAATTTGCCTTTCTGGAAGGCGAATTTCAGAGCATTTTTGCTCATGCGTATTGGTGTAGACGATAATAGATGGTAGAGGTGCAGTTATTTTAAACAATAATTCGAAAACATTTTGAGAATTCATTACTTTTCGTTCATCGGCTGAGCAGAATGAATTACGCCTTTTCAGGTAAGGGAAAGTATTTTTAATTTTCAGGGTTTTGTAACGATTTTAAGTGTTTGATGAAACGATTCTTAGTTTTTAAAATTATGTTTTTGTAAGGACTGGATTTTCATATTTTAAAATTTTTTGGAAGTGAAAGTATTACTTTTTCAGGGTTTTTGTAAGGATTTTATGTTCTTTAAACTTACTGTGTTTTTGAAACGGTTTTAGTTTTTAAGGTTATTAGGTTTTTTTGAAAGGATTTCCAGTTTTAAAAATTTCCCACATTTGTTTTGCGCTTTTTACAAGAGTAAGAAAAATTATATTTTTGTCAATTTTCATTGACTTTTTAAGTAAAAATAGGTCGATGTGTACATGGATAAAGTCAAGAGAGAGCGCAATGCCATTTTTGTGCAATTCTGGGATTTTTTTAAGTGAAAATAGGTCGATGTGTACATGGATAAAGTCAGAGGAGTGCGCAATGCCTTTTTTGTGCAATTCTGGGATGTTTTTTTAAGTGAAAGTAGGTCGATGTGTACATGGATACCGAGTTTGTAAAATTCTTAAAAAGGTGTCAAGCAGTGGGTGATTCTGCACTTTCCCCATTTTTTATAGGTGAAGGAATTTTAATTCTTCAGGGTTTTGTAACGATTTTAAGAGTTTTTGAAACTCACTATATTTTCTTAACCATGTTTGTTTTTTAAAATTATTATGCTGTTTTTAAAGGATTTTCAGTTTTGAAAATTTTGCTTCAACTTTTATTTTGTATTTATTTTACCTGTTCGGCATTGTAAATGTCGCGCCTTGCGTAGTGTATTCTGAAGGGGTGAGCGCGCCAAGTTGGCGATTTTGAAAAACGCGCCAAGCAGCGGGCTATTCTGCACTTTCTCCTTTTTCATGGTACCCTACACTGTTGCGTTGAATCTACCTCAATATTATTTTATTCAGTAGTTCTCGCTTTTAAATTAAATCTGACTCCATTCTATAACACTTGAAAAGAAATATTTTTGAGACACAATTACACTTTTCTTGCTTAAGAAAGCCAAACTTAATTTGCTTACACACTTAATAAAAGCATTCTTCTGATCTTTCTTACTGTTGCCAAACTACAAAAAACAAAACTCTGTCTAAAAAGGAACGCAACGGCTGTTGAATATCGTTAACAAATATAAATCATGGAGCTCACAAAACACACATTACATCTGTCATTAAAAAGTTTCTAGTTGGTAAACGCTCACTCTTCTCCTTAATTGCTCAAAACAGTTACTTTCTATAGAGAACAAGCTACACTATTTATTTATAAATATATATTGCGTCTCATACTTTGTTATGCCTTCCCGGTTTGGGCGTATTCATGCAAATCTGCCAGAGAAAAGCTACAAACTACCCAGAACTGTGTACTGCGGCAGATTACTGATTCTCCGTGGTACATGAGAAATCTAGAATTACATGAGGAATTACGCATAGAGCAGCTTAGGTGATTCTAAGCTGCTCGCAAATTCTTTAATGATCAAAAACGAATCAATAATTCTGTCATCAGGGTATATGATTAAGATGTAAACGACCTTTCGTATAGTGAAAGACCAATGGCCGTACTTGGCAACTTAGCAGATTAATGTACCTGTTTGCCTTAATTGACATGTACTTTGTATTTGTGTAGTATCTTTACTCATATGTTTATTATTTTTTTATATTTATATCATGCATATATATTATCATCATGTATTTTCATATCGCACCTTTGGGTTCACACTTGCTTAATGCATTTCGAAGGTTGTCACCAGTTCGACGGCTAATTTTGTAGCTTTCCAGATTTTACAACACCTGAGATCTTTGCATGACCTACCTTATTATTAATTTAATTATCGAACACCTTTGGCCTCTACAGTATGTCATGTATATATTGTTTGTATATACATTTCTTGAATTTATTATGTGTAAGCTGTACAAGTTATTTTCCTGTACCATTCGTAAACTTGGACGCAGGCACCGTGGTGCTATACCAAAATTTTCTCTCTTGCAAAAAACTCAACTGATGTACTATCCTGAAGAGATTCTGAAGAGAAATGAAGTAATGTCAACTTGTTATTACTTCACTTCGCTCTTTGGCATCACTGTGAATTGTTTGTAAACCTTAATAGCTAAATTTAGCCGTGATTGTTTGAGTTTAACGCAAAATTAATCTAAAAATTTTGTTTAATTACTTTGTTAGTATGCATGCAAGAATCAAAATTTCAAGTTAATAAAGACTGAATTTTTGAATTATGTTGTAAGGTATTTTTCAGGTCACCATTATTTCTTTAAAATGAATTCGTGAAATCAGTGATTACTCAATAATGTACTCAACGAGTACGGTTGGAAGAATGACAGCGCAGTTTTTTGGCTAATAAATCAACTTAGATAAGCTGTGTAATCGTTTTGTCAAGCCATTTTTATAGAAATTTTATTGAAACACTTTTATTGTGAAACACGCCCTTTTTTGGCGTAACCGAAAGCTCAGAAAAAACTGACATTTCTTTGAATATAATCGCTAATGTAAAATTAATGTCTCCAATATAATGATTCTTTGTTTTATAAATTTCATTATGACATGTTTCCTTCATTTTAATAAGGGAATTAATAAACTCTCTGAATTCTTTTATGAAAAATATGTAGTCATTCACTTTTATACTCATTTATTACTACTGTTGTAATAAATACATGCGTTTTTTACAAAAATAATGAATACTATAAATGAATTTGTCATTTTATGATCAAACCTTTTTTAAATGTTAAACAACAAATATGTAGTGATATTTTTAAAATGTGAAGTACAAAATAAATTATAAACAAAAGCAGTTTCCATATTAATAAAGAATTTTACAGCAAGTTTTTGTTAAGCTACCGTTTGTTTTAATGCTGAGGGGTAAGATATCTATTGTTATTTTTGTCAATATTTGATTGTCTGTGCAGCATAAATGAATTAGGTGATGCAAAATGTATAAATTTTATATGTAAACATAATACAGTGAAGATTATGTATTAACTGTAGCAAAAAGAGAAAGTTATGATATTCAAGTACTCTGAAACTGCATTTATGTGGGCTGAAGAATAATATAATATATCCATGTACTAAGAAATTCGGGGTAATTAAGATATCTTCTTCCCCCCCCCCATTGGCCAAATGCATATTTATTCCAGTATAAATGAAGAGTTTGTATTTTTACGTCATTGTTTTATCTTTTCTTTTACCTCTTTTTTTTTTTTCTTTCTTTTTGTTGATGCAATTAAAAAAATATGCTCAGGAGAAAAAAGAAACTTTTTCCGTAAGAATACGAAATTTCAAAACAACGCAGCATGCAACATAATGACAGTGGAATTCTTTACTGTAATTCTAGAAAAGCACTTATTGTGGCTAAGGAATGATTTCCTGAAGAAGCACAGAGCAGTAATCCTATATATATATTGCATAAATGCTTTTTATATGTTTACCAAATGATATCAGATTACATGTCATTCAAAACTTACTTATTTGCTAAATAACTGTCATTATATGTTACTATTTAACTGAGGAATATGTACAACATGTTTTCTGAAAAGTAATAAATTATTCTTTATTATAAGCTGATAGGCATGTCATTTGTTTAAAGTAATTTAATTGCTTCTTGAAATTTGTATATTTTACTTTTTATATTATTTAAATTAGTAAAAAAAAAAATTAAAAAAACTTAAATTAATAGCAAGTTTAAAAAAAACCCACACATAATTAGAAATCTTCTATATTAAGTTAAATATATATTTACTAAAATTTTCTCTTTCAGCTAGATGACAATATTGTATGGTATAGGTACATAAATTACTCCTGCAGCAATGTCATGGTATAAATTTGTTCTTCCGCATCTTACTTTTTTTATTCTTCAGGTCTCCATTAGTTTTATTGGTGAGTTTGTTACCATATTTATTGTAAATTAAATTTCTTGTTTAATATTTTATAACTAAACTTATATTAAAAAATTTTTATATTTTCTCTAGATGTTGCTTGTCTGTCAGGTCCTGATTTAAAAATTTCAAATGTTACTGAAACCCGAGTTCATGTTGAATGGAGTTCTGTTGTCTATCCTAACACATTTATTGAAAAATATCAGGTATAATAATATTTTTAGTTGAAAATCATTTAAACCATTTCTTTATTAGTTAATGCAGTTAACATTTCAATGAAATTTTTTAGTAATGTTTACTTTGGTATATGGTATTTTACCAATGAACAAAGTGGCAATGAAAAAGTGTTGTCTAGTTTAGGTGTCATATGCATGCAAAAAGGTGCCTTAGAATTTTAATGAAAATGAAAGAAAAAAATCTAAGAGGGACAGTTGTTCTCAATTCAAGCATCACTAAGTGTATCCTTTTGGCCTATGAGTATCATTTACAATATCTATTTTTTTGCATATGGAAAGAAATTACTGTTAAACTTCTGATTTTCAACTCAACACTTTGCAGCTGAGTTAGCTGAAGCCTGTTATTGTCACCAGGCATAATGTTAACAGAAAAAGGTACCATGCTTTTTTGTATTCAGTTACTAATATTTAAAAAAATAAATTTTTAGACATTGTCGTGTGAATCATTTCTTAGGCTGATGTGTTAATAGCCATGGGATGATGAAAGCAAAATATGATAAATAATAATTCACATTGTTGGCGTCAGAAATATAAATTATTCAATCGATGTAAAATCAATGGTATCTTGATGTAGAATATTTTGATTTGAGATATATGCCAAGCAAAAAGCCGACTGTGGAGCCAAATTATTGATCATACTTATTTATGCTAATAATTGATTGTTTCTTCAATATGGATGCAATTTATTGAATGCCAAAGGAAAATTAAATAGGGCTTCTCACATGCTTTATTATAAAAAAAAAAATATTGGTACTATTGCATTAGAGTGGCATCAGTTAAAAATAAAGAAAAAATGAGAAGAAAACAATGCTACAACAACACGCCAAATCGTGGTTCGAGATTTCCAGTTTTTGTTTGAAATATCATCATATGTTATTTTTTTTTTATGTATTTTGCCACCTTTTTTAGTACAATGGACCACACAATTTGGAAATTACCTAATGATAAAGAGGCTGCCATAAATATTCCTTCAGGACAAAGGAATAATTCATAGCAATTAACTTTGTTCCCAAAATTATTCGATGAAGTTAATGAAGTTAATCATTCGATGAAGTTGTATTTATTTGATTAACTTTTGACTCAAACAAAGCTCCTATATGACATTGTTACGTACATTCTTGCTGTGAAAAAAAAAAAAAAAAAAAAAAAAAAAAAAGGATTGAGAACCAAAAATGTTTGAAAAATGTTTGAAGGCAATGTTTGAAGGCATGCGTCTTTCTTTCCTCAGTGCTGTTTGTTTTATATATCTGTGGTGTCAGGGATTGACGTCAATTAAATTTTGCCAACTTCAGTTAGAAATCACCATATTATGAAAGTAGATTGGAATAACTACTTGTGAGAGTTATGTGCAAATAGTTTAATGTCTTATAAAAGAAATAAAACCAATGTAGCCAACAAAATCATAGAAATAGATGAAAATCTTTTCATAAAAAGAAAAGACAACATTGGATATGTTCTTCTAGAACAATGGATTATTTGGGGGGGTATAGCTGGAAAACAAAGAATGTTTTCTGGTCGCCATTCCTGATCGTTGTGCGACTGCACTGATGACTGCCATCCAGGAAAACATCGCAGATATCAGCATAAAATTTTCAGATTGCTATAAAGAATATAAGAAAGAGGAATTAATAAATGCTGAACTTTACACTGTGAATCACAGTTATAAATTTGTAGACCCTGAAACCAAATGCCATACCCAAACTGTGGAGCGACTGTGAGGCAGTGCTAGATGGAGAAATAAATATCAGTGAGGCATTGCTCACCACCATTTAGAGCTATATTTGATAGAATTTATGTGGTGTCGGTTATATTCAAAAACTGAAATCTTTTCTATAATATTGAATGATATTTGTAATTTTATGCCACCTGTTTAGATTAAATTTTGTGTTAAAATTTTTTATTTATGTGTATAATACTCTAGATTAAAAAATTTAAAAAAGAAAAATTTACTTAATTCATACTAAGCATTATGAAGTTTTAAAAAAAAATTTACTTTTTACAGAAGTAATATTTTTTAGTCTTTTGAATTCTGTTATTATGTCATAATTTTATACTCTGCAATAATTGGTGACCAAAAAAAATGGAGGTGCATTTTTAACTGATGCCGCTCTAACGAAATATCAAATGAGCATGCAGAAGGCATACCTTTTTTTAAAAAGAAAGGTTGCTGGTAGCCCGGAGATTTGGATTTTAGATCATTCCAGATATTGAACGTCCAGATTTCAGACTTTACACTATATAGTTTTTTATTAAAACTGCTGTAAAATACCACTTCCATTTGTCCAGTTTTCCCCAAAATCTATTCAACTCTTTATATGAATACAGGAATCTGAAATGTGGAAAAAATCAAGGATGTCGTTACGCATTTTAACAGATGTCATTTTAAAAATAGCAAAACCATATTGCGAGGATCATATTTCATGTTTATTCACTGAAAACTCACTATCAAATTTTTGCTGCAAAGCATTACTTCTCTTATATATATATATGCAAGTTGGTTGGAGGTAAAAAATAGATGGAAAAGGACATATTTTATCAATACTTTTTTCAAAGTCTATATTTGATGTAATATCCTTGATTTTTATGTGGATTTCTAGTGCATCTTCAGTTCTCTTAACTTGTATTTATTTGATTTATTTTAAAATTTTAATAGAGTTTCAATTCAAAAATGAGAAAAAAAATAGACTAATATTTATTAAGGGAATTTATCAATTTAAAGTTTATAATATTGAATTTCTATGTATATTAAAATAATGTATAATGCTTGTCTCAAAATTCTTTATTTTTAAATATGCAGGTATCAGCATATCCTATTAGATCATATGCAAAAATGGAAATTTTAAATCGAAACGAGTGGACCTTCTACAACAGTACATTTCGTTCTGATCTGGTACAATTGCATCCGGGTACTCTGTATAACATTAGTGTGTGGGCTGTGACAAACAATGGCTATACTGATCCAACAACCAAAAATGTTTGGACTGAAGTAGGAGGTAATACATATTATTTGTTTGTACAGATGTTTGATAAAAAATTTTACATGTCAATCTAAATATATGATCTTGTTTGTAAATTTGAAGTTTAATTACTATTTTTGTTTGGGAAAAATACACTCATGTCCAAAATTATCTTTACAAACCCAAAAATGATGATATTCAATGAAATATCGAATCAATGTGATCCGTATTTGCAGGGAATGTGTGAAAATCAAGCCTAATTAGCATTATCCAATCAAAAGTAATCAAACGGTTTGTGATATGCAAATCTAGGCGTTACGTCATCCAAGGGTGAATCAAGCGCTTTGCGCAAACTGAATATTTGAGTGAATTTCTGCAACATAGTGTTTGATTTCAGTGTGTAGGGACTCAAAGCGGTTTGTTATGGCTTCGAAGTATCATTTGGAAGAATCTGTAAAGTGGCGAATTATCGGCCGTTTAGAAGCAGGGCAGTCAATCATGGAAACAGCCACATGTCTGAATATTTCAAGACAGACAGTCTTTAAGCTATGGAAACAGTTTCAAAATGATGGAAGTGTTGTAAGGAGGGCCTGGACAAGGTCGGACGGAAACGAATGACACTGCTTCTGAAGATCGGTATCTGGCATTAACTGCCCGTTGTAACAGAAAGGCTACTGCTCGCCAGTTAAGTTCAGAGCTCGCAGCCGCCACTAGAACTGTTGCATCACGGCAAACAATATACAGAAGGCTTAATGAAAAAGGCATTTATGCCAGAAAGCCAAGGTTATGTGTTTTACTGTCTTCACTGAAAAAGAGGGATCGCTTTAATTGGTGTAAAGAACATTAAAACTGGACTGAACATCAATGGTCCCATGTTCTCTTTACTGATGAGTCGCGGTTTAGTTTAACTGGTGATTCTAAACGTGTTTACATCTGGAGGGAGTCAAGAACACGAAATGATCCCTCGAACATTGTGGAATGTGACCGTTTCGGTAGTGGAGGTGTGATGGTATGGGGTGGAATAATGATCGATGGATGTACGCCCCTACACGTGTTCAGCAGCGGATCTGTGACAGGCTAGATATATCGAAATGAGGTCTTAGATCCTTATGTAAGACTTTTCAGGGGTGCATATGGACCTGACTTTTTATTTATGGATGATAATGCCCGTCCACATCGAGCAAACCTCGTTGATGAATTCCTTGAAAGTGAAGACATTAAGCGAATACCTTGGCCACCAAACTCTCCTGACCTTAACCCGATAGAGAACTTATGGAACTACCTTGGAAGAGCAATTGCATGTATACATCCTCCTCCTAGAGATGTAAATGCTCTGAAGACGGCATTGCTGGAAGAGTGGAGATTAATTCCCCAAACTGTGGTTAACAACGTTATTTCCAGCCTTAAAAACACGTTGTGATATGTGTGTACAAGTCAGGGGAGATCATATTCCATATTAAATTCGTAAGACTTAATTCTTTTTCTGAATCATTCCTTTTTTTCTTAACTCTCTTTGTCACACTTTATTACCATTTTTATTGTTTCATGCTACAATTTTATATTCATATGAGGTGATCTTCAATTTTTTCTTTTGCATTAATGTGTCATCATGTTATGTATGATTCCACGAAAATTCATTAAATTATAAGTCATAGTCTCTGAGAAATCCGTGAATTTATGCATGTAAACATAATTTTGGACATGAGTGTATATTTCAGAATATCCCTTGATGAAAATTGGGGACTTTTTGGCGTCATTCTTGTTTACATGCAATGCCCTCACAGGTAAAATAGTATCCGAAACATACCGTATTTGACGACATATAAGACACGCCTTTTTTCCCAAAATTTGGTCTAAAAAAAGTTACCTGCGTCTTATACGTGAAGGACACAGGTTAACTTTCAATATGCTATTTTTAGCCCGGATAAAGGTCTAGACACACATAACTTTTTCTACATCTGCCATTATTATTTTGCGCATGCTAGAAATAACTGTCACCAAAAAGCGCCAAAGCTTGAAGCTGATGTCGAAGTTCGAACAGGTTCGAGGGTCACATTACCTCTATGAAGCCTTTCCTTCTTTATATAGACTTTCTTTGACTCGGCCAGCACACATGTCAATATTGGTGCTACTCTGTATAAACGTGTTGGTATTGGTGCTACTCTGTATAAACGTGTTGGTATTGGTGCTTAAATTGGTGCTTAAAACTATTTGTTTTAAAAAATACCCAGGAAAATATGACTACAGGAAACAAAAGATTAAGCTATGCAATTTCAGTATAAACTAGGAGTGTTAAACTAAGCCAAAGTGCATGGAAACAGAGCGGCAGCAAGGCCTTACAGGTCCACCACCTACCGAAAAAATGATACGTACTTGACGACTGCTGGACGATCAACTGAAGACTGCTAAAAAACAAAAACATAACCTTCGAATGCCCAGCTCATCTTGGCCTGAACTTGAAAATGCCGTAAAAATGTCGGTGATAGATAAGAGGAAATCTGGGATAAGTGTTTCAACCAAAATGATAATCAATAAGCGCCAAAGGAATTTTCAGAAAAACATGGGAATCGGAACTTTTCAGGGTCTGAAAGGGCTGAAGCTACAGGTTCAGGAAAAGGCAAGGCTTATTCAATGCGAACAAAAACAACTATTGCACTGAAAATGTCAGCAGAAAGAATAATGAAGAAAAAATACTAGCATTTCATAGGTTTGTTATAAATCACACAAGAAAACTTCTTTTGAGCTCGGTCACATAGGAAATATGAATGAAATTCCACTCACATTTGATGTACCATCCAACAAGACTGTGAGTATTAAAGGGTCTAAATCAATAACCATAAAATCCACAGGTCATGAAAAAACCCGGTATACGGTAGTTCTAGCATGTTGTGCTGGTGGCACAAAACTACCGGCCGTTTTTCATATTCAAAAGAAAATCTTCTAGCGGGTGTAATTGTTCATGTTCATCCGAAAGGGTGGATGGACGAAGCTGGAATGAAACTGTGGTTACAGAACGTATGGGCGAGGCAACTTGGTGGACTCTTAAGAAAACCCTCTCTTTTGGTTTTGGATCAGTTTAGCGCCCATAGAACTGAAACCATAAAGAATAAAGCAAGAGAATTAAAATCCCAGATATCTGTCATTCCTGGTGGACTGACTAGCCAATTGCAGCCTTTAGATGTATCGGTGAATAAGCCATTTAAGAAAAAAGTGCGAGAACGATGGAACAAGTGGATGGGAGAGCCACATCACACCCTCAGGTAGAATGAAGTGGCCCTCTATTTCACAAGTGTGCGAGTGAGTAAAAAGATCTTGGGAGGACGTAAAGGCTGAAGTAATTGTTAAGTCCTTTAAGAAGTGTGGAATCAGTAATGCTCTTGACGGAACAGAAGACGACGCATTATTCGAAGAAGGTGATACTAGCGATGACCGGAACAATAGTGATGATGATATTCTCGTTTTTGATGATGATGATAGTGAAAAGGGATTTTATGGTTTTGAAAGTGATTAAAGTCTAATTTCATGATAGGCAACGTTTTTTTGAATCTGTGTTTTTTGTTGTTTCTACTTTATTTTGTATTATGTTTGATTGCTTGTCGTTGATTCATTTATTCATTATTTAAATTTACATATCATGTTCAATATAGTTTGCCATTTGTTAATTTTTGTTAATAAAAATATGTTTGCTAATTACATTCAATGATTGTTTAATTTGCTTCTACGAAACGTGAGAACTAAAAGAAACCACATTTTAAGTTATTGTGGTACCGCGCTGTTGCTCAGACTATTGAAATTTTTTTTTCCTTGTGTGTGGCCTTCTAAATAAGGGACACACAGAATTCCTTAACAGCATCCAAAAACTGTTTAAAATTATCTGAACTAGAATGTGCATACTGCGGTCACCACATAAATTCACAAAAATAAAAAATAAAAATATCCTCCGTACTGGCTAACCATCGATGGCATTTCTTTTGAAATTCCCTTTTTATTACAACCACGTGCCTTCCATAATGTTAATATGAGCTCTGGTTTCCAAATTCTTAAATTTCACTGCATAATTTACTGAGAGGGGAACGAAGCCATTTAAATCTTCATTTGCACACCAGTTAATCAATGTTTTATTTTCCATTCGTCCCAAAGCGTACAGAAATTTCAGGTTAATCGTACCACCAGCAGGCATTTTATGGTGTAAATCACAAACTAAGCAACATACTTCCTAACAAACATCCAATGGATAAATAAAGCCCTGAGAAATATTTTCCCAACGGTCAAAATCACCGCAATCATGCATTACAACCAATCACATCATAATAGGGTTTCCATAACATTCATTGTAAAATAGTCAGGTTACCACAAATGAAACAATAACTTTGCAATAATCCAAGGAGTACCCTCAACACATCTTATTAAATACTGAAATTATTTTATGTATAATGAAAATATTTAAAGAGTGCCCTCTTTTTGGCATGATTTTCTTATAGTTATGAGCTTTGTTTTCTTACAGTTATGAGCATAACTTTAATAACTTTACTCCTGATTTTATTTTTCAAAGACTTCGTAGACAGAATTACAGAAATAGTTACAAAACTGTAATTTAAAATTTTAAAAATAATACTTCAGTTATTAATAGGTTTATATGATAATTTATTTATTTATTATTTACAAATGCCTGATTTTACATGCATACGTATACGTATTACGTATGGGGCAGGTAAAATGGCTAACAACATAAGTTGTTAACCATTTTACCTGCCCCATACTTCTTGGTTAGAAAATTAAAACTATTAAGTTCAGAACACGTGTTCAAAAGTTCTTTCTCCTTAGGTTCTTTGTCCTTAGGTTACAAAGAGAACACACTGGAGATTTCCTGAGTCTAATGTAAAATACATAAGACAATTAATTAATACTACTTACCTATTATCACAACCACCTTAGTATAAATCAGAATGCCCAAACTCTGGCAGGCACACACATTACAATTTAGGGAATTATGCAGAATTATACATATGGAAATTGTTCAGTTTTAACAACTATTGGTGACAGTTTGGCATGCGGTTTTGGTCGTTGTTGTGTCCTAAATAAATTTGAGTGATTTTTATGGGCAAATCATGATTTTTTTTTTTTTTTTTTTGGTCTTAAATTCAGTTTAAGACTTGTGGAATTTGCCTGCAAAAATTTTGGTACTTGTGTATTAATGCAACCACTTTAGTAGAATTTGCCAAATTTTTTGAATGTGCCAAACTCTGGAGACCATGTGCGTAGCTTTTCTTTGGGCAGTCACCTTCATAACAATCCTTTAGTTAAGCAGTATGCTACCATTTTCATATGCATTCTTTTTTGTTGTATTCCAAGTTTCAGTGGTTTTTATAAACTAATTGGATATCTTTAGCGTTAAATTTAGTTTTAAAATATGAACTTCTGGAATTTGCCAGCAATGGAAGAAACCATGATAAAATGTCTGCAAGAATACAGAATTTTATTGAACATTTTCTAAAAAGAACAATGAGGAAATGCAGTTCCTTGAAAGCTGCTGTTGTTGAGGGTGGCACTAAGCCAAGTCTTCGCAGTTCCCCGATTTTTTTTTTTTTAAGTGAAAACAGATTGCTGTGTACTTGGGGGGGGGATTACAGAAAGATTTGAAGAAGAATGAAATTGTTTAATATTTAATGTATTGTGTAACCCTTATTTATTGATTAAAATTTTGTATTGTTTTGAATTTCTAAAGTATGTTTTCTTTTTATATGTTGATAATGTTTACCAACTTATAATAAATATCATTAGTTTGGAAATCTTTCAGGGGAAAAAAAATGCAAAAACTACCAACTTGCACCCAGTAAGTAACTCTTACCTTTTAATCTGTAAAAAATCACCAAACTGTGCCAAGGTTGTTGCATTAATATATAAGTACCAAAATATCTGCAGAAATCCAGGATTTTGGCACAAAAATCCCTAAAAGAGTAATGCTTAGAATCTCTTATCAAAACAACCACAAAATTTCCATCGGAGCAAAATAAAGAAAAGCCCACGTGTAAAAAAATTATGGATTATTTTTTGGAATAAATACATAGTCAAAATGTAAAAATATACATATAATAATATGTACATTTTTATATGTATATTTTACGTGTATGTAATCAATATTTTTTACAAGAAAAGTAATTTTTTCCCCTCTTTGTAAAATTTTTTGAACTGTATTAAGTTGGTTGTGCTAGTATGTAAGTACCAGTTCTTTTAATAATAACTGTGAACACTCCTCTTTATTTGCAAATGAATTTGTATTTCAAAATGTCATGTAGTTCAATTAGTTGTCAAATTAATTTCCTTATGATCCCTTATTTTTTATAATTGTACTTTTTGTAAAATTTTAATTTTGAGTGTTAAATTGTCATGTTTTTCTTCATGATTATAACAGATGGATGCATTTGTATGAATCTTTAGAGTAGTTAGTTTAGAGTTTTTCCTCTTTAGAGTAGTTCCATGGGTACACTAATATTCACCTGAAAGTAGTGTGCATAGCCATGTGATATCATAAACATTTTCAGTTATTCAGGTGATAAGTTACTGAACCTTTTCGAAAGGGAACTTGTTTGAAATTTTGTTTCATCTGAAGAGGACTTTTCAGAGTGAAAAGGAAAAGAAGATTGAGGAAGATGATATAAGCCAAAGTCTGATTTTTGTTGGCATACATGGCTAAAATTGTAGGTTCTTTTGTATTAGCACAACAACCTTGCCTCACTTTGCTGATTTTTTATTGAAGAAAAAGAACAATAATTTACAGTTTCAAGCAAATATTTTTCACATGCATGCATATTAATACACATATATTTTACATTTTAATTAGGTACTTATCCCAGAAATCAATCAATAAACTTACAGGTGGCATGTTTTTTGTTTTGCAGATTTCGTGGCTGTTGCTTGAGAATAGGTTTAAAACAAATGTTCTCTATAGTGATTTTGCAACAGTTGTATTCCCTGCAGAAGTTTCACTACAATTTCTCCCAGTGCAAAAAAATCCCACAAGTGTATATTTTAAAACTGAGGTTATGGTTTAAATATTATAATTTGTCTATAATCATTGGAAATTAGAATACAACAAACATAGTGTGTACAGAAATAGTGACAATGCTTGTTAAAACTTTAGAACTGTTACATGCATGATTGCTAGAATTTGCACATTTTGAAACTCTTGGTTGCTTCTACAAGGTGATTGCACTAAATCTCATGTGAATATCAAAATCTATTAAAAGTACTATATATTTCCTTTAACTAAAAATAAATTTTCCTTTCTTCTTTAGAAGAAGGAAATGCCGCTTGAGAACTTGCTTTAAAATGTGCCTTTGACCAGTGGGTGCATGTTCAAATTGCATGTGGGCGAATACTTAATCTGAAAAAGCTGATGGGCTAGAAAATTTTTTAACAAAATAAAAGAGTATTTTAAATGCATTTAAAATTTCTCTCATGAAATATTTATCAAAATATACATAAACAATAACAATTATATCATTAAGGAAAAAATTCAAATGAATGTTTGTTTTCTATCTTAAATTTAAAGTTTGATACCTTGTAAAACTGGTTATGCATTGTAATTCAAATACACTGCTGAAACAACTCTAATGATCACTGCTGTGCTGGATCTGACATTGTACATTTATACCCTTGATGTAGTATCCAGTTCTGCACGATTCTTGTGTAAAATTCCATTTTGATGGCTTTCTCAAGATTATTGCTGACAATTTCATACATTTAGTCAATAATAGCTTGCACATTTTTTTAAGGGATGCAGTACACTATTGTGTTGTCTTTTTTTTGCAGAAAGCATTTTCATCCACTATTCAATTTTTGTTAACCCATTAGCCGCTGGTGTTGCGTTGACGCAACGGTCAAAATAAATGCGTATATAAATATAATTACCTAACATATTTTATACCAGCAGATGATTTTGTGTAGGAAATATTATGAAGATAATTTCTGTAAGAAAACATTGCCTTCAACAATCATTTTGTTTATAATAATCTCATACTTTAAGCAAAATTTTCGACGGGGTATTTATGCTGAAAATGTTTAATGAAAGAATCACCGTCTTTATGAGTGATCTATTTTTAGTCAAGGTCACCGTTTATCAGAACATTACATCAGTCAGATATTTATATTTGTGTTGGGAAGCAAGGGGAAACAGGTGTTGCACTGACGCAACGTCAGCAGGAAATGGGTAGTCAATATCCTTTTTCACTCATTCCTTAGATGTTCTTTGGATGTTCTGGTTCATGTTCTGGCTGCTTTAAAAATGCCTAGAACGAGGTATCTTACATTAGAAGAAGCCCTTCAAAGATTTTTTGATGAAGAAACAGATGATGATAATGTCAATAATGACCAGAATGAAACGATATTGTTGTTGTTCTCCCAGAAATTTCAGAAACTAGTGACGAAGAAGAAAGGATTGGCAATGTTTTAAATAATGATAATGATATTTTACCAAATAATACTGCTGGGGAAGTTGAAATTCTGATAAGAAGTAAGTTTCAGCATTCTAAAAGCAGTTATAGTCATACTAAAAAGTTTAAAAAGAAAAAGATTGAAATCTTGAAGTGGATAAAAAAGGAACTGTTAGTTATGTCTGAGGAAAAACATGAAGAAAGAGATAGAAGAGAAATTATAAAAGACAAAATACAAGGTAAAACTAGAGCACAGATTTTCGATTTTCGTTTTGGTTTAGACATTTACTCTCTTCTCGTTAAAGAGACAAATATATACGCTCAGCAAAAAAAAAAAAAAAAAAAAAAGGAGCCCAGAATTTATTGCATCTGAAGCCTATATGAGAAGATTTATTGGAATATTATTGCTTACAGGATATTATTCTTTACCTCAAGAAAAAATGTATTGGTCTTTTGATATGGACTTTTCTGTTCCTGTTGTATGAGAATCGATATCACGTTTTCACTACAGGAATATGAAGCAGAATTTGCATTTGACAATAGTCAAATTGACAATATGGATAAATTGTATGAGGTGAGACCATATCGAAACTTACTAAATATCACCACTTTTTACTACTGGAAATATAAAGTCTCTTTCAGATATTAGACGCAAGAATGCATTATACCTTTTGCAAACTCCTATTGAGAGTGTAAAATTAGCCAGAAATACATCAGCAACAGGAAGACCTAGTAAATTCAGCATTCAAAAACCATTGCATGGAGATGGTAGACATTTTATCGTAAAGTCCGTTGATAACAAATGACTTTGTTGTAAAGAGTACCATAGCCAGACTGTTTGTAGATGCAAAGTATGTAATGTAGCTTTACATCATGATTGTAATCAAGCTTTTCTTGCTTGAATCTTTCAAATGAAATAATCTGTATTTGTAAAAGAAATACAATGTATATTTTAATATTAAATTAATTTCAAGTAAAGTGATTTGTAGATTTATAAAACGTTATACAGCTAAAACGTAATCCTGCGTTCCACTCAAAAGAAACATCACACGAGTACAATTCTACTCACTAAACATCCGTAGTCTTATTCTGCTGACGTTGTGCGAATGCAACGCTCGCGTTTTCCACAGGTAAGAGAATTTTTTAAATTTTCAATGTAAATTTATGTTATAAATGCTTAATTTAATATTTGTTATTATTTTCATGAGAAAAGAACCATTCCTTGTAGTTTTGGCGGTTAATGGGTTAATATCGATTTTCTCTTATTTGCCATGTTGATATGACTTACTAGACTGTTCTGTAACTAACATATGCAATTTCAGGAGAGGTGGACTGTAACTATTGACACATTGTTTTGAAATCTCCAATTTCCATTTGCATTCCATATTAATATGCATTAAATATACTGTAACATGTGTTCATTTGTCTTGGTTGTCAGGACCAGTGCTATGTGTCAATTGCATTTGTGATTCGTGTATTATGGATTTATCAATATAAATATTATCTAATAGCTTGGTATTTCCCCCCTCCCTCCCACATGCAGATTAGCAAAATTTACTACTTCCATAAATATATTACTAGGTTATTATAAATTTTTACTTTAATTTGAAACATTAAAGTACCTTGAAAATGATGGTTACATATTGAAATACTGATAGCGAACGGAGAAAAGTGTGCCACTTGTAATTAAAAAGTATGTATGATATTCTGTGTAGGATTTTGATTAAATTCTTGCTTATCTGATACACTGCCTAAATATGCCCAATTTTGTTTTTAAACAAATAATTTTAGGAGCTTATTTTCCTTTTTAAAATTTCAGAGCCAGATGAACCCCCTCCAGTTGAGATCATAGAAAGGTCCGGAGAAATAATGATGATAGATTTACCTGTTGGCCAAAGTGATAAGGGACCAATTACGTGAGTAGCAAGTTTTTTATCTAATGCAAGGAGAATTTTAGTAATAATAATTAACTTGCTCATCAGTCCAATTAAAGTATGTTTTTTTTAGTAATATGATATTGTCTTCTAAAACAGTTTAGTAATGGTTCTCAGGTCCCTTTGTCAATAGAAAATTTATTGTAAATCTTTTGCAAATGTACTTCAGGTCTTCAGTTTCAGGTAAAAGGTTGTATTAATGCTGTCTTTTTCGATAACAGGAGTTGTCTGAATTGGCATGCTGCATAACGTATAAAATAATGATTAATTTATATAAGGAAAGATTTATTTTAATTTGAAACTTTAACAATTACACATTTAGTTGAAATTTGCTTTTTTTTTTCACTACTAACTACAAATAAATATACTGGATCTATTACTTATGAAACAGAAGTTTTGTCTGTGAACAGTAACATCTTTTAAAGGCTTTCATGAAATGTTTTTGCAGTTGCTGTGTTACACTATACTGGTGTCCTTAAATTAGGGATTACATTCATTTTCATAGAAATTTCTTTGTATAAGAGGAAGGTGTCGAAGATACTTTAATCTATACTATTAAAATGAGTGTGCATTTGTCTGTTTGTTTATAAAGTCATCTCCTCTGGAATGACTGGGAGTTAAGTTTTGAGAGAGGTACTCCCGAATTCCAAAAATTGAGGGGAAGCCATTTTGACCATTCTCATCTTCGTATAACTTTAATCAGCCAAGATATTAATTAAAAATTCTGAAAACACTAATTTTCGCACTCATTTTTTTTTTTCCCAAGTGGCAACAGTTTCACATGATGGAGATAAAAATGCTTTAAGATAAAAAGGGCTGCCACTACTCACTTTCAAATCATAGAGTTTGTTAATGAAAAATTTGTAAGTTTGTCAAAATATGAAATAAAAATAGCATTGGCAAACATTAAACATATCTTGTATATATGCGGCTTAAGTGTTTGTCGCCGATAGTTTATTGGTTGCTTGCGTAACTGTAAATTGTTTTATTCCCCGTGCAGTGCAGTGTGTGGCAAATATTATGAGAAAGCTAAACCAGAAGAATTAAAAATGCAAGAGCACGTGCATTTAGCATTTAATAAATAAATTTAACATCTGTTTGTCGTCGATAGTTTATTGGTAGCTTGCATAACTGTAAATTGTTTTATTCCCCGTGCTGTGCAGCTCGTGATGAATATTATGAGAAAGGGAAGCCGGGAAACTTAAAAATACAAGAGCATGCATTTAACATTTAATAAATAAATGTACATTTATATATAATAGAATTTGGAAATATGCAACTGGCAAAAACTGGCAACGATGAAAAAACAAAAAAATGAAATGAATAAATATCTTTATTATATGTGGCTTAAGTGTCTGTTTGTCACTGATAGTGTATTGGTTGCTTGCATAACTGTACTAGCCAATGGGATGAATTTGCCACTGCACAGGGTTACCATTTCAATTAAGACCTATACAATTTTTCGTAAAACTTGCCTTTGCTATGACCATCAATAAGTCTCAGGGCCAAAGGCTTAAACATGTTGGCATTTTTTTACCTGAGCTTGCATTTGGACACGGTCAACTTTATGTTGCCTGTTCAAGAGTTCACGAAAGAACGGACGTAAAATTAAAAGTAATTGATGGTCCTCTGCTAGGCGAGCTTAAAAATGATAAAGAGATCTTTGACATGTTAGTTAACATTTTGTTATTTAAATCACCTTTATTTATTGAGCTATCGGTGGCTGTTAAGAAATGTACCGCCAGTGGTTTCCTTCACTGCTCTCTACTTTAAGCAAGAGGGGAACCCTGTGGAGCAGTAAGCAAAGAGGCGTCCTCGCCGCCTGCCCTGGGTAATTCAGTTTGAATTAGCAGACACCTGTGCACAAATCATTTTAATTACAATTTATAATATCTAGAACAGCGGTTATTTCGTATGATCGCCGGGCTTTCTAGTTATTATTATACGAGGTCATAGTCTGGTGTTGAAGAAAGCACATGATTGCATGTGATGTCATTGTATGTTGAAAATTGTTTGTAAAATGTCAACATTTTAAATAAATAGATGCTGTTTCCAACTTTTTTGTTTTAGATTAGGATAAATAATATTTGTTTTTGCTACATTAATTCTTTTATTGATATTGAGAAAAGTTTTTATATTGCATTAAATTCAAATCATGATGTCATATCTGAAGTGTTAAAAGTTTTTGTTTCCTGGTTTAGCAACAAATATATATATATATATATATATATATATATATGAATTGGTAGTTGCGTAGAAAGAATAGACTGATTTCATTCATATTGAAATACTTTTATGCATTTTCTTTCCTGGTGCCCATAGAACTTAAAAATTTTACTTTTGCCGTAGCTAACAACTTTGTATACTGTACATTATATTAACAGTTCATTTTATTTTCAGTTTTTCAGTGCATTTTGATAAATTTATTTACAAATATTTTTTTTTTTATTATTATTATATAGTTTCTGTTTTAGTACAATTCAAACTTTTGTGGGTATTTAATGCATTTTAGTTGAATTTTTATTTTAGTATATTGCTATTTTTTTTCAATCTATTAAAATGCCAAAATGCAAAAGAGGCATTATGGGAGATGCATTAAGAAGACAAAGAGCTGAAGCACAAAGATTATGGCAAGCTATAGAAAATGAAGAAGAAATCACTAGGAAACTAAGCAGGGAAATATAACAACAAGAAAACTTGCATGCTGAAGAAATGACTAGGAGACTCAGCAGGTAAGCACAACGACAAGAAAACTTACATGCTCAAGAGGAAATCAATAGGACGCTCAGCCGAAAAGCAGAAATTCAAAATGGAGGCTCAGCAGACAAGCAGAAAACCAAGGAAATTTGCATGCTCAAGAAACTGAAGCAGAAACAAATAGGAGGCTTATCAGTAAAGTTGAAATGTCAACAGAATATGCATGCTGAAGAGACAGAAAGGAATTGCAAGTAGACAAAGGACACAAGACTCTCGGCATCATCATCAAATTTGAGTGGAAGAGTCAGAACATTATGCCACTGCACAAAGAACACAAGATGCTGCTCATTGATACTGCTCTGATTGTAGACAAGTCCGATCTGAAGAAACAATGGCTATATTTAAGACAGACTTTGCGCAAATACAGCATAACATTCATGTAACACTCTTCACAGTAATGCAGGAAAGAGTAAACACGTAAGAACATAACACAACGTCTTTCCTGTACTAGCAACTTTACATGCCTGTTAATCATTGTTCCACCAAATCATCTTCAAGTATATTTCCAGTATAGTAGGTAGTTCAAGCCAAATATTATTGTACCATGAATCAAATAAAAGACAAAACCTTATATTTTGTTAAAGAATTATTGATTATCAGTCCATTTGAAGAGTTCATGACACTACTGATTAGGATTTTCTCTGACTGTTGGGTATCAATAAAGCGATATTTTTCCTATTTAAAGGATACAAACTAAGCTGGTTCAATGTCTGTAGATGTGCTGCAAAATATTCTGTAACCCATATTTGGATGTTATGTTTTTGCTAAATTCTTAAGAATTATGCAGTGCCACCTTTTCAGTGTTACTGCTATACCATGTGTTCAGGTTGCTTTGCATAATGTGTCATAGTTGTAATCTCTGGTAACTGGTCATTTTCCAGTGCATATAAAAGTTATGCTTCGATGTTACATTTTGTTGTATGAAGCAATGAGCACTAAGACTCTTTTACTTATTCTAACCATTTGTTTATTTTTTTGAGTAATATTTTTAATTTCCTTCAAGAACTTTTGTTCACAGCTCAAGTAAATATTAAATCTAAAGCTGCTAGAAATATTTTTTAACTAATAGAAACTAATAGACTAGAGAACTATTTTCCTCAATGTCTCATTCAACAAAGCATTTTGAGAAATCTTTGCTTCCAGAAATTTTCAGCGATTAGCTCTTGTAATTCCTTTCTGTCTGCTTGTTTGAAATGTGCAAAATACAATGTAATATTAAATGGAACTTCCCAAAATTGAAATAAAATATTGTGACTAAAAGCCTGCAGCTAAAAGACTAGTTCTGGGGAGACACTTTTTCTAGGAAAATATTTGTATTGTATTTCAAATCCATAGATTTGATACCAGCTTAAGAAGCAAAGTTTGGGCATTCAATCGGTCATTTTGTATAAAATAAATTTTACTAAGTTTTCATTAAAAATGAGAGATGTATATATTTTTTAAATACTTGTGATTATTCATTATTCAAATGTCAAAAAATGGTAATGAAAAATTTTTAAACAATGTTACAATAACTGTTTATATATTAAATATGTCCAAAATTTCTAAAAAAATGTATTCATATTCTAAAAGTAGAGCAAGGAATTTGTAAAACATTTGATTTTGACATAAGTTATAATTAACTAATAATATATTAAAGACCTATCCATCAACAGCCAAGCAATAAACTGTTCAATGCTGGCAGATTAACCCATGTTCAAGTTCCAGCAAACAGACTGGCTGTATGGAATTTTTAGCGTTTTACTGTTTTGCCATAATCGAAAGCAGTTAAAGACTTAAATTATAAGCATTGTAATGTACTAAAGGATTAGAAACCATTTTAGGTTATTATATGGCTTAATTTTATCATAATAATTATGAAGAAGTTAAAATATATTGGGAATAACCAGAGGGGGACATAATGCTAGTAGTAGTAATTGGCAAAATGCCTTGTTGACTGACTGTCTTATTATGGAATTACCTCAATCTTTGAATTGTAGAAGTGTAAAAAAGGTTTATATCCGTGAAATGCAATAAAGCAAAGTCCAATAAAATGAGCTTTGCCTGTGTAGTATATGTTGCATCTAACTCCTGATTATACTCTGTAGTATTTAATATTATGCATAAATTAAAACTATGTACAACTTTCTTTTCTTTTTTCTATATATAGGAGTTACTATGTGGTAGCTATTGAGAAAAGCCCTATTATATTTTTCAATCCTGAAGAAGCTGGTAACTATTCATTCTCACAAGAAACGGGTCTTCCATTTTACATAACTGCAAATCTTAGTCCTGAAGAAGCAAACCAAACTTTTGTAATTGGAGATAGGAAAACTTATGATGGATACTACAATGCACCATTGTCAGAAAAGCATGATTATGAGGTTCTAGTTGGAGTTGTCAGTTCTTTGAATGGAGTGAGTTAATTTATTTGTGAAGTAATTTCATTTGTTGAGTGTTTTAATATTTCGAAGATTAATTTATAAATGGGGAATTCTTCCCATTTTTAATATGTACACTGCGTCCCCCAAAAAAGGGACAGTTCTATATCTTCCGTCCTACTAGGCCAATTGATAAAATTCAACTTGCGTTTTTCATGCCTCAAAAGCGGGACTTAGTTTATGTATTAGATTAATATATAGCATTGTTCTAATAAAGAAATTTTGGCACAAAATTGGATTTTTTCTGAAATTACATGCCAATTTTTTTTTCCATATTTCCATTCTACGACTCAAATTACACCAAACTACCAAGTTTTGAAAAAAATCGCATGAGTAGTTTTTAAAAAATTAGCTCTCAAAATGTTAGCTACTCAATTGAGTTTGGTATATATTTATAAATATCTCTTTTTATTAAATTTATTTGATTCCTGCTTTCATATTTCAAAATTTAGGTTCATTCCAAATAACCTTTGTCCATTTTTTACGATTTATTTTAAAAATTTGCATTTTTAAATAATTTTTCTAAATTTTTCAAAAAAAAAAAAAAAAAATTTGGATTATAACCTATAAAACTTTTACCATCATCTTAAAGTAGATGTATTTCTAAGCATACCTGTAAAAAATTAGAGTTTTTTATTCAAAATTTCCAAAGATTTATGTGAATTTATATATTGGTGCATTTTGAAATTTGACATATTTGTTGAAAGTGATATTAGTATCAAATGTGGTTTTAGGCACATTTTAAAATTATTTGAAAGTAGGAATGATGTGATTTTTCTTGCACTCATCCACAATGTAAAAAGGTAGGAACAATGTGACCCCTTCCTGCGCATCGTGGTGCAACTGAAAAAAAATGTGCCAAGTTAAATTTTTGAATTTCTCTGTAAATTTCGCATCAAATTTTACAGAATTTAATATTTAGGCATAATTTGAGTCATAGAATCGAAATATGGAAAAAAACTGGTATATTATTTCAGAAGAAGTCCCATTTTGTCTCAGAATTCCTATGTTAGTACAGTGCTATATATAAATCTAATATATATTCCAAGTCATGCTTTCGAGACATGAAAAACTCAATTTGAATTGCTTCAATTGGCCCAGTAGAACAGGAGATTTAGAACTGCCCCCTTTTTTTGTGCAGTGTATGTTCAAATTTAATATTTGGTACTTCTTTGTTATAGGATCCCCCACCCATATTTGGTGATTTTAGATTTGTGCCAAGATCTCAGCTATCATTTTGCTAAGTTCATGAAGTATGAATGTAAAAATAAACAATACAATATATAATGATAACAATAATATTCATGTGTCATTTCCAAAGAATATTTTTAAGAATCCTGATTCTTATTTTTATTTTATCGCATGTAATTATTCTAGTCAACGGCAGCACTTTCACACATATTAAATTGCTTGTTACACCATTTCATGGATGGCAGTTCCTTTGCCCAAGAATACATAGATTTTGTCCCAACAATAGATTTTGTTTTTTTAATTAATTATTGTATTTCTTAAAGGCTGATTTTAAAAACTGTAACTATATATAAAATTTAGTTCAGAACAGAAATTTTGGTGCAGATCTGATGTTTTATACAAATCTATCTATTTTTTAGTATCTGTCTCTGAAAACTGAAATTTTGTAATTAAAATAATGAAAAAAAAAAATCTGCCATTAAAATGTTATGTTGGAGAAATAGTATATGTTTACATTACGAAGTAAACAATCAAGAATAAAATTTTTAGCAGTCAAGTATGTATGTATATGTAATGTTGTGACAGTCGGGTACATGAGTGAAACTGGGCAATCTAGTCACATCAGAATCCTAGACATTGTTGTGGCTGAGTGTAAGGAGGCATCCAATGATGATGCAGAAGGATTTAAATTTATAGCTCAATTTCTTTATTCAATTCAAACAGCAGATCATTATTCTTTGCTAAATAAGGTTGACTTTAAATTTACTGTGTCATACTATTCAAAGAAAGAAAGACAAAGCAGCAGCAAAAAGGTGTTACAGCAGCAAGTTTAGAAAAGCAATCTCTGACGCAAGATGGCGCAAATTTTTTTTTATAGTAGCGGTTACATAATATTCTCAAAAATACTGGTCTAGGAAAGATCCTGAAATTGCGGAAAGTTAATTAGATGTTGCCTGTTCGCGTAGAGCAAAGCCATCGTATTTTTTATATTTTACATATATATATGTAATAGCACAAATTTTGGAAGCACTGAAATAAGAACACTGAGATGTAGATGCGTAGAAATGCTGATTGCATAGATACTTGATGCTTAGAGCGTCCATCCATTTTCAAGAAGAAGAAGCCGAGCTGGATAAAATTCCTTTTTTATTTAAATTCACATTTTGTAGCCACAGTTACTTGGCTTTCTACTCGTGCCTATTAAAGAACATTTATGATTTTGATTTTATTGCCATAGAAGTGAATGTAGCAGCACACACATGATTGCAGAAAGGCATCTGGCCAAGAGGAAAGCACAAGCAAAAGTGACGTATCGGTTCTTAGAAAGGAGGGAGGGAGTTGAAAGTTTCAGTTTTTAGTTTTAGTTTGTAATTTGGTGATTGGTCAAGCGGCATCTTCATTAAGGGTTTCGTAAGATTGAATGATTGATTTGAATGACGCAATTTAGACTTACAGCGCTATTTTTAGGACAGAGAGATTAAGTTCCCAAATGAAATAGAAAATAAAAAAGGTTATAGTGAATTAAATTTAGAAGTTTGCTTTCATATTTTTTATCTTACATATATATATAGAGAGAGACAGAATTCAAAAGGGAGAGAAATTTTGATTATCATGTCTGAGGGAAAAAGGTGTAGTGTGGGGAAATATTTAAGATGTAATAAAAGTGAAAAATTAGGATAGTCAAAAATGGGAATCTAAGCTTTCGTGTGGGAAGTTAAAACATTTTAAAACAGTGGTGTAATCATTAAAATTAAAGAAGCTATGAAAAAATAATGAATTAATCACCCCTATTTAATGTTTTAAACAGAAGTGACCAAAGAGTAAGTATTTAGAACATTAAACAGGGTTGATTAATGAGTGCTGAATAACATGTTTTGTACCTCTTGACAATGTGATCAAGCATGCCGTAAAGTTAACATAGTACTCTCTGATTATCTGCACCCAAACCAAGTCATTGCTGGCTTTGTTACTCAGTGAAAGAAGTTTGCTTGTGTATCTAATAAAATGAGGCTTTTTGTAAGAAAAAGGAGAAAGTTTGAAAAAAAAAAAATATATATATGGCTGATATTTATTTATATTCTAATACTTTAGCTTGCTGTTTTTGACATAGCACAAAATTTTGTCATTTAAGAAGTACAGCGTCATAAAACTTGAATTTTTATATTCTATGTTGTTGAGCAAAATACCATATTTCTGAAAAAAGTCTAACACTTTCTCATTTGCTAGTGAACTCTAGTGTCCTGCAATAATTAATTATTTTCCATCAGAAAAAAATGACTTCGGGTAGGAATTACTGATCAGAAAAATGATGGTTAAGCATAAAGCATGTAAACGCATGTGGTATGTGCATGTGTTAACTGACTGTTATCGGATGCATATATAAAATATTCTAAAAACACTACAATTCTGGCAAATTAAATTATTAAATGTAAATTAAATTTTTATTTATTTTTTAAATAGTTTCGGCAGTACTGGGAATTCATGTTATTTATTAATTTTAAATCCCATGTTAGCTTCTTAATTTCTGCCTTTTTATTTTGTAGGTTACTAAAGTAGCATATTCTCCACTGCAGTCTACCATTGAAAGTCAAAAACGGTCTGGTGACATTTCTAGAGGTCAGTTTCATATTTTAATTACAATGTTTTTAGTACCACAAGGTGTATGAAAAATAAATCTAAAATTAGAACATATCATATGATAGATGATGTGTGGGATTTTAAAAAATGGACCATGGTTTCAGAAGTAGATATGTGGATGAAAACTTGTAAAGAGTAAGCATTTTTTTTAGAAATGTGGTGTTGAAGAAGTATGAAATAATAATAAAAGCAATGATTCAAGTAATACATACAAGGGACATTCAATTTATATAAAGGAATTTATCTGCTAAATTTTATTTACTCTCTATATTTCTATGTAGTCACCTACCACTGCAATACTGATGTTCCAATGCCCAGGAATTTTCTTAATTCCAAGAGTGACAGAAGTCATTTAATTGCATGTTGACTCATTATTGCACAGGGCTAATAACCTGCTCATTAGATTTTAATTCCTTCCCTTTAAAGATTCTTTAAATGTGCCGAAAAGATGAAATTCTAATGATGCTCTATTTAGGGGATGAAGTAGGACATCCACTTGTGCTATATGACTGAAAACATCTTCTTTCTTTTTATTCAGTCATCAAAAGATAAGGAATTTACCTGCTGCTCAACTTGCTGAAATTAAGATGATTTTTAAACTAATGTTTCTCCATTAACACCACTTATTTTAGATTCCTTAATAATTTTTACAATGGGTTATTCTCTGGATTGGTTCAAATTAATGCAGCAGTGAAGGTCAGCTTGTGTTCATCGACTGAATTCTCATCCAATGAGCCTGTGGTTCATTTTCAACTCTTAATGAGCTGTCTTTAAAAAAGTGCTACTTTAGGTTGAGAGATTTACAAACTGATTTGTAAATTCAGTTTGTAAACTGAAATTTCATAAACTGCTTTGTTAGTCAATATTGTAATGATGTCACTGTGCAACAGTCGTGAACCTCCTGCTCCAACATGTTGGTTTCGACTAACAAAGATGAGAGAAAGAGAAACTAGCATTACTGTTGACAAGGCCAAGCATGTAATTACATAATAATGAATGGTTTCACTAAGAATTTACAAGAATAGAGCTGGAAAATTTCTGTTTATAATTTAACATCTTCTACAATATGAGGGATAGTAACAAGATAAGTGGTTGGGTCAAGATGAGTGAAAATAATCTGAATGCTCTAGTTACAAATTAATGATAATTAAGATTTTGAATTTATAAAAAAGTTTTTCTAAAAATTATTTCAGTAATTTTAGTTCTTTATATTATTAAAAAAAAATATTAACATTTTTTCAAGATTTTTCCATGTTATATATTTCATTAAAATATGTGAGACATAATATATTATTGGTTCTATTGATATCAAGTGATGAATGTTTGAAACAGAAAGAAAAGATCGATAAATATATAAGCATATTTATTTTTCACAAACTGAAAGTTGAAAACAGAAGTCTTTTTTTAAAATGATGATCAGATGTACTTTAAAGTTGTAGTTTATATGGAAAAAATTAAAACATTTATTCAAAAATACATTTTTTACTAGACATATATATTTATCTTCTCAGCTTGCTGATTAATTTTATATTTTTTATAGCCAGCATACATAAAGGGTGTCCCAAAATTAACGCAAGATTTGAATTTGGTGCCATTTTTGCATTAAATTGTTGGCAACCCTGTAAAAAGAACAGTTTGAAAGCCGAGAGTTTAGGGTTAGTGAAAATGGAGCGTTATAGGATACAACAATGTGTCTTTATTATTGAACAGTATTTTTAAAATAATGAAAGTTTGGCAGCCGCAGTTAGAAAATTTTATACAAAATATGGTAAAAACAGTGTTTTAACCTCGTCAACTGTGAAAAGATTAATTGAAAAATTCATGGAGACTGGATCAGTTGGAGGCGCTAAACACACCGGTCATCCAAAAACAAGCCGTTCAAATGTCTATATTGAAGCAGTGCGTGAGAGTGTTGGTGAAAACCCAGGAACATCAATTCAGCTTCGTGGACAAGAATTGCAAATTTCAAGAAGCTCTCTACAGCGTATACTCTTAAAAGATCTGTGTCTTCATGCTTACAAAATTCAATTAACGAAGCTTAATGACCATGAACAACGAAGAGATTTCGTGGAATGGATCATTAATCATCTAAAAGTGGATGCTGGTTTTTCGAGCAAAATGATTCTAAGCGATGAAACACATTTTCACCTGCACCCGCAATGTGTCACTGTTTGGTGCATATTTTGGGCAGGAGTCATCATCGGACCATACTTTTTTGAGAATGAGGCTGGTCAAGCAGCAACTGTTAATGGTGCTCGATATCGCGACATGATAACACAGTTCTTTCTGCCGAAATTGGATGATATAGATGTGACCAATATGTGGTTTCAACAAGACAGTGCCACATGCCATACAGCCAATGAAACAATTCAATTACTGCATGAGGCTTTCCTGATCGTGTAATCTCTCGTTTTAGTGATCAGAATTGGCCACCTAGATCATGTGATTTAACACCATTAGATTTCTTCTTAAGGGGTTATTTGAAGTCAGAGGTCTATGTCAACAATCCCACAACCACATGTGCATTACAAGAGGAAATTAAGCGCTGCATCAACGAAATTCAACCACAATTATGCAGAAAGGTCATGAAAAATTTTGACGGAAAGATGCGTATGTGCCAGCAAAGCCGTGGAAGCCATTTGCCCGATGTGTTATTCCGTAAATAACCCTAGCCTATGTACTTTAGGATTCACTTAAAAAATAAATATCTAAAGACTAAAAATTTTCTTTTATATTGAATTCAAATCTTGCTTTAATTTTGGGAATTTATTATTATAATTTTTATTAGCAGGTATGTACAGAGATGTGAAAAAAATTAATGTTGGGATTATGAAAAACATTATACCAAATCTGTTTAACATATCTTAAAGGTTCTAAATTCAACCTCTTGATGCACTCAACTGAGTTAACTCAGGTGCACTGAACTAAATTATTTTTGTGCATTTGAATAAATATGTTCATTCCCTCCTCCGGTTATGAAAACAGCGCAGAATATATCCACTATAGGTTTGAGTTTAAAAAAAAAGGGGGGGAGGTTGAGTTAAAATAAAGATTAAAAAAATTGGCAGGAAAAAGACCACTTTCTTAATTTTTATTGATGAATGAAGGTGTTACAGTGCAATATCTTGGTTTTCTTAACTCAGGTTCCAATATTTGAATCTGTAAATACAGACAAATAAGTCCTTAGTTTTATAAATACAGTCAAAAGTCTTTAATCCGGACGCGTCGGGACTTCGGCGATTCCGGATTATAGATAGATCATAAGTTTAAATCTGGTAATATGGCATGCAGATATTATACAATTAAAAATATGAAACCGTAATTTATGAAATAAAGAACAATTATGATTTAAAGGGTACCAAAATTTAAAAAAAAAAAAAAAGCAGCAGCTTAATATTTATTTGTTTACTTTATTAAACATTTCTTTCAATGTAAGTTTTATGTGATAATACTTTCTCTTTAATTCTATAAACAGACATAATTTCTTGTTCAGTTACAAAGTTCCACTGTTCAAGTCCTATAATTGCTGTGTCGAGAATACCGACTAATTTGTCAATCGAAATTTTTTCGTTTTCAATAACCTCTGTGTCACTTTCTTCACTATCAGAAGCGAATTATAATGCCAAGGAATTTGATTTAAATCATATCAAAGACGGAGTACATCGACATGAAATACTACATTTAGTAAGGAATTATAAGCCAAATAAAATAAAAACATCTGCCCTGAAGATAAAGATAGTGCTGACAGATTAACTTCCAATTCTTTGTGCGCTGCGACGTCCCCCCCCTCAGAGAAGTGCGAAACTGATAAACAGATTTCGGAATGGGTAGAGAAACATATGTCTTTATCCATTTTTTTGCAGCAATTCCACTTTTTGTTTGATGGACATCGAAACATACTTTCGCTCTGGCAGTTGTAGCATCAGAAATTCTATTTGACATAATCGAAAGTTCAAGCTTACTTTTATAAAATTGCTCTAACAATCTGGAAAAAATAATAAGCCGGATCCAATTCGAAAATTAAGGAACAATGCAATCTGCAACATTAACTGAAATAGATAATTAGAGCTTAGCTTATACTGTTCGTTATACATTAAACGCGCATGCGTAAACATATTATGTGCATGCGCACACACATATGCACATGCGTAAAAGTATCACGCGCATGCATAAACGCCTATGCACATGCGTGAACGCATTATGCGTTGACGCATGCGCAGAAAGTTTGTAGCTTTTGAGGTTCGGATTATAGATCATTCCGGATTATGGGTGTCCGGATTAACGACTTTTGACTGTACATTGTTATAGAATTTATAAAATAAAAATATTTTGTGAATGCTAAATTGCTCTATAAATGTTTAAAATTAAATAATAATAATTTTTGGATCTGGCTACGTATGAAATATATCAAATATATGAGTGAATTTTAATTTTGTTTAACTTTTAGCTCAGACAAGTTCACCATTATCTGTGATCCTCTCAGCTGCTATTGGAGTGTTTGGATTTCTCCTAGTTTTATCTGTTATCATTTATTTCCTTCTTAGGAAGCGTTATGGCAAACGAAGGCCATCTGATGAAATGGTATTAAGGGTTCATGGATCTGAAGGGGTAATTTTTTTTTCCCTAATGACTATTTTAATTTTTTATTGTCCTTGAATGTAGCATTTTATTTTTAACTGCATTGTTTCAAATGCAACTGTAATTGTATTTTTTTAAATGCATCATTTTCCTTTGCTTAAAATGCATGAAGATTGTTTTCTCATTTCATATTAAGATATGAAATTCAAAGTGTGTGGAAAAGAAAGAAAATGAAGACCTAAAATAACTTAAGAAACTAAAACAAATGTTTTTTGTGCACTTCATAATTTTAAAGTGCAGTTTTTAGAGAATGCTATAAAACAAGTTACAAGTATGATTTATTTAAAAAAAAATTATTTATTTATTTATTTATTTATTTATTATTATTATTATTTTAATCTCTTAAAAATTTTATTTAGTCTTCATGTAGTGTAGATGCAGACAAAAAGTTCTTGTGCTTACTGTAATGATCCCAAAGTACCTGTACTTAGGAATCTTTATTTAAATAGATGTCAGTTGTTGGTTTTATCATCATAGGCTTTTAAGGGATTGTGAAATTATCTACCTATAAAAGAAGATAATTTAGAAGCAGTGTTTTTAATTTATTAATATCAATTGAATATTTTAGCTTAAAAACTGATTTCTTTATTTCAATTTCTTCATTAGAATGTATAGCTGAATAAGCTGTTTTGATATTTAGCTTTAGAGAACTTTATTATAGATGTGAATATGATTTTAGAATTTGGGGATTAAATGAATGGCTGAAATTTAATCTCAGGCTCTTGTCGTAGTGATTTACTGAATTGGCAGCATGAATTTTTTTTTTTTTTTTGGTAGAAATTAACTATAGACCAGTTTTTCATAACTTAACTGTAGAGTTCATGAAGAACTTAACTATAGACTTTGCAAAGGCATTTTTTGCCATAATTAAACATCTCTGTACTTTGCTTGAAAAAAAATTCAAATTCCCAAAAGTTTTCCTTTAGTACAGAAGGCTAAAAGTTGAGCAACATATTATTTTAGGTAAATTAACTAAAATATTTCTCAATTTTATGTTGCATTACATTTTATTTTAATATGGTCATTTTTATGTTATAGTATCTTATTTAGTAAAATGTTTGAAGAAGAAATTTGTCTTTTAACTGTGTGCAGCATGAGTTTTGATTTAAAATGCATTTTATTATGCTCTCTAAATGCTCAAACCAACCACCTCTTTTATATTATTTTCATTCTTTAAATCTAGTTTCAAATTTTTCATTTCTTTTACATTTTTATATTCTAATCTAGATCCATTTTCATAACCTAGATCCAGTGTTCAGTTAGTTATAGTTTAACTATTTAAAGCACATAGCATAGTTTCTTGACAGTTATGTTGTAAGCATGTCTGGTTTTTAATGCAAGTAAAATTTTGTGTTATTTTTGATTCTTTGCTCATTGAAATATTTTTATAAGCTGAAAACTTGCATATTTGCTGCAATGCATGATTCTGTGCTAATAAGAATATATCTTAATAAATGTTTACAAGGGATACACAGCTGAATATTTCTTGCACTGCATTTGCAAACTTGCTTTTTCTTTCACAAGCTTACATCGGATCAAAGTGAATGCTTCCAGCAAGAAAAAGTAGGAATATTTCCAAATATTATTTTCTTTCATTACTGTACTTTGATTTGAAATTATGTTGCAAACTACTCCATGTTTAATATTCATCTGTTTTTATTTTTTTCATTTCCAATAACTTAGTAATGCTAAGTAGCAGTTATTAATGGCATTAGTTGTACCATTTATCAGTATGTGCTGCAATACAAAAAATAATTTTCAAAATTGAAGAAAGGAATAATTTTTAAATTCCAAAATATACTAAGTAAAAACAAAACAAAACAAAAAATGTGTAGGTTGGGGGAAAGAAAAAATATTCGAGCTGAAATTTCATTGCTTTTTCACATCTGGCTTGACTAAAACCAAATGCAGGAGTCCCTGAAAATGTACCTAACAACAACAAAAAAGGACTTTTCAACTATTATATGAACATGAATAAATAATTCTCTCTCTATATATATTAGTAAGATATAAAATAACATGAAAAAAATTACTAGACAATTATGGTGCTATAGAAATTAGCATATGTATAAAATGAACAAATCTGATCTGTCAGTTTGGTGTAGGAAAATTGCCTTCAGTATGAAGTATGATCTTCCCTAGAAGTCATGTACAACACATACAGCGATGTACGATGCTGTCAGTTATGCAGTCTATCAGTTCCATAGGAGGTGAAAGCCATTGCTCTTGCAAAGCAGTTGCAAGCATAGCAAGAGTCTGAAGAGGAGGACTGAGAGCAGCTGTGCATCTTCCTACAGCATCCCAAACATGCTTGCTGGATTTAGGTACGGTGATCGAGCTGGCAATGCCATGTGCTGAATTGTTTGCTGCTGAATATAATCATCCATGATGAGAAACACTGCACAGTTTGGCATTGTCGTCCCATAGCAGGAAATTATTACCTATTGCCCCTGCATAAGGGCATACATAAACATCAAGGATGCCATCTGTATAGGCCTGAGCATTCATGGTTCCATTGGGAAAGAAATGGAGATCTGTGTATCCACCCAAAGAGATACCACCCCAACCACAGACACTGCCTCCTCTGTATGCATCTCTTTCATGGATGTTTGATGGATGATAATGTGTTCCAGGTTCTCTCCAAATCAAATAATGACTTGTTTTGGAGGCTAAACCTGGACTCATCCATAAAGAAAACAGTCTTTCATTGATCAGTTCAGTGGACATGTTGATGTGCCCATCTCAAACATTCTCTTCTATCATCTGACGCAAATGGCTGGTTGCATCGCATACAGACCTCCTTCTGTGAAGCCTTCTGTGTAGTGATGATGTTGACACCAACCTTCGAGTGACTGCAACAAAGGAAGATCTGAGTTGAAGTTCTGTTCCTTGGTGCACATAACAACAATCAGTCATTGGCGTCTTTTGTAGCAGTTAGCTGTCTTTGGCTGAACCTTCTGGATGCCAAATCTGTGGTTAGAAAGTGTTGCCAAAGTCTGTGAACCACAGAAGGTCTTGCATTCAGCCATCTGGCCACTTCTGTGTGACTTTGTCCTGAGTTTAGTCTCCCAATAGCTTTCTGTTGCAGTTCTTCAGGCAAATGATGTCTGGAGGTCATTGTTACAAATTGACCCAGATTTCTTATCTCAGTGTCACAGCAAAATTTTCAGGCTTGCTCTGAAGCATGCAATTTTATGCTTCTCTCAGATAACATATTTCGATTGCAGCACCACCAATTTGTATATTGTAGTTTTACTCAGAAATCCATATTTGACAACATATTCAGATTTTATACTGGCTTATTTTTGGCTTTATTTAAATTTGGCTTGTTTTTGTAATTTTTTGTTAATTTTTTTAAACCGGTGCATATATAGACACAAAAATGTAATAAATTTAGAGCAAAGATGTGAGAAAATATAATCAAAACCAGTAAAATCTAAAAATTTTGTAATAAAAATCATTCTTCTTCTTCTTCTGAGGCACTACATCCTACTGTTGGCCAAGACCACTTCAATCAGTCTATGCCATTTGGACCTATTCATGGTAATACTCCTCCGGTCTCCCTTATGTATGGTATTAATGTCATCCTCAACAGTATCAAGCTACCTAATTGGTGGCCTTCCTCGCTTTATAGCTCCCATAGGTTTGGTAAATGTGAGTTGTTTTACTGGGTTTCTATCATCAGTTCTATATAAATGACCCAAGCATTGAATCCTGTGGCTTTTTATGACCTTGACAATATCAAGCTGTCTAAAGTTTTGGTAGATTTCATGATTATACATTGATCACCAAACACCATTTTCACAAACAGCGGCACTTTCGACTATTTTAGTCATTACCCAGCGCTAAAAAAGTACTAGTTTTTTTTTTTTTTTTTTTTTTTTTTTTTTTTTTTTAAAATCAACTAACAAAGTGTTATTTATTTTTTTTTTTTAATTATGGTACATATATATTGTAACATGTTTTGCAGTTTTTATCGTAATAACATATGAGTTTCTTAGTAAAACATAAATTTTACTCTCAAATCACGAAGATAGATAATTTAAATACAATTCTATCCATTACAGCTTCACACTCCAGCTTTATATTAGAGTTTCTTTTTGTATAAAGTTTTCATACATCTACTACTGGTAAAACTTTCAGAATTATCATTTTAAAACATTTTCTGACGTTGCTGAGCAATGGTTACATGATACAAAATATGACGTCGCCACTCCAATATCAAGGATAATAAATATAATTATTTGTTAAATAATAAAATATTACAATATATATATTATTGTGTTTCTGTATTAATTGGGCATTGCGCATCAAATTTGTACTTTGTCTATTTAGTATAATTTAAATGTATGGGTTCTTTCATTTGAGAACTTTTCAGTTATAACACTTTTTTTCTCTCTATTACAATGAAGAGGCATTGTAATAATTTCATATACATAAACTTAACATTATAAAATTTGAATCTACTTCTTCTCTGTTGTCTTGAGTTGTTCATGAATTTTGAGTTTTTAGTTATCTATGTTATTCATTGTCATAATTTAAAAGAAAAATGTAACCTGTATCAGTTAATTATTTTAATAAACACAGTATCATATTTTCTAGTCAAAATAGTAAATTACTGCTTTTAAATAAGTGCATATTTAAAATAAAAATGCGAAACTTTTTTTTAAAATTGGCTATTGTTTATTTATCATTGGCCAGCAAGTACTGATATTTAGTCTCCCCTTCCTCTTATATTTACGAGGGTGTTTCGAAAAGTAAAGATACACCTTACACCAGAGGAAAAGAAAAGTTTTGGTGAGCAAGCTGGCAACACAGGTGTTAACCTTGAACTGTTAGCTTTCTCCTCGTGGTAGTTCGGCATTTCAACGTTGATTCTGGTTGGAGTAGGTTGTGTTTAAAATTGCTGCGCCAATTCAGAATCCTGCCAAATGCGAAGTGCGCTCCGTCATACGTTTTCTTCAAAAAAAGGTCAGCGACCAGCGGATATTCACAAAGAAATTGTTTCTGTTTATGGGAACATTATGAATCGACAAAATGTAATGAAATGGTATCGTCATTTCTCTGAAAGTAGGACCGATGTTCATGACGAACAAAGAACAGGTCGGCCATCTGTGATCTCTGATGTCCTTCTTCAGAGAACAGAGGAAGCAATTCGTGTGAATAGACGTCTCATATTGAAAGAATTGCATCAGATCATACCAGAAGTGTCAATGACAACTCTTTATGAAGTTGCGACTGTCAATTTAAGGTACAGGAAATTGTGTGTGTGCTAAGTTTCAACAGGCGGCAACCTTCTATGACTGTGGGATACAAAAGCTTGTGCACCAACTTAACAAATGTTTGGATAACGGGGGTATCCAAAAAATAATAAATAATCCAGTTAATAAGATGTAACTGACATTTTCTAAATAAATGTTTTTTTTTTTTTTTTTAAAGGAATACGAGCCTTTGTGTCTTTACTTTTCGAAATGCCCTCGTATTTAAAATTCCTGTAATTTTCATGAAGGCATTTTCCTCTTTTTTTTTTTTCCTTCTGCATTCAACATAATAAAATGCCAGTATTTCAGAAATTTTGAGATGCAGCTTTGCTAAATGACATAATAAAACAGAGAATTTTAAAGTTGAACAGTATGTTTGATAAAGTATGGCCTGGTTTTGAAGCCTTGTGTTTGTGCAACTATGCACTAACTAATGGTGTATGAAATTTGTACTATTTGAGAAGCAATGACCTGAGTTTTAAATAATTGCTGGTTTCCAAATGAAACATTGCTTCAACCTTAAATAAGATGCGTGGGGCCAAAAGGCTTGGCAGTATTTTCTTAACTTCCAAGATCTTCAGGCATTATATAGTATAAGGTTTGCTTCTGGATATGTGTGAAAGAACATGTTTGTTCCACCATTAACTGTTGGCTTGGATGAGCTTAATAACAGAATTACAGATGGCTTGGATGAGCTTAATACAGTTGTAATAATTTCTGTGGAAGAAAACACTTTCAAATGCATTTGGGATAAATTCAGCACCTGTCTTGATGCTGTCCATGCAGCAGATTGTAGATGCACATTTACAGTAAGTGAATTTAACAACTTACTTGTTATTTTTGTTGCTGTAGCTTATTTTTATTGTTAAATATAATTATTTGAAATCTGGTCATTCTTTTTTAAACACCCTGCATATCTGTGACTTAAATTTTGATTGGATAGTATAAATATATTTAATTTAGTTCAACTTGCATTTAGCATAATAAAATGCCAACAATTCAGAAATTTTGGATGCAGCTTTGTTAAATGATATAATAATTTGACTTATGACAGCTTTCACTTTGAGACAGCTTTCACTGTTGTCCACATGTGGATGCTTTAGAGAGGCTTATAATTTTTCTTCTTGTCCATTTTGGTAAACCATGACAAAACATGTCACTGATTTGAGAACACTCAAGAAAGATTTTTATGGAAAGTGATAACATATCTCCTACAGGGGGCAATTACAGAAAATTACAACTAGCTTATATTTACCATCTTTTTTAACTCTCTGGAGAATTGTGAGCATTTGTATATTGGATGATATTTGTTGATACTTTCCAAAAGTATTACACCTAACTTGGTTTCTTGTAAGCTATTAGCAGTGTAAAAGCTATTCTGGATTCTTCTAGAAAGATATTTTATTATTTCCTTTTTTTTTGGAAGGCGGTTAATGTTCTTTAAGATGCTGAGAGAGATAGAGCAAACACATACTTGCATTCTGCCCTTTGCAGGAGCAGGTACATCATTTTCGTATGCCTTCAAAGTTATTCCAGTGTTACTTCATCTAAATCCTATTTTTTATTGCAATGCATCACATGCTTACTATTGAGTGCATATGTAGGTAGAAACGAGCAAGGGAGAATAAGTTTGATTGTTTTTCTGGCAACTATGAAGCAGTGCCCATTGGAAATAAAAAAAAAAAAAAAATGTTTTATTGATCTGCTGATATTAAAAATATATTTCATTGCAATAAAAGCGTTAATAGATTATTAGCAGTGTATTAGTGGGTGCTGAATAATACACAAATAGTAATTTATGACAGGAGTACTTACCTTATGGATATACTGCATGTGATTTCTTCCTGTGTACATTTTGAATTTAAATGCTTAAATCCCAAAATCATGGTATTGTGTAGAACAGGTTACATATTTTTAATATGCATATTAATTTTTTGTAGGATGAAAATGGCTTTGTTCCTGGACTGTTACAAATTAGTGAAGATGCAGATTTGTCTGAGGTATATGAAAAACTGAGAGAGAAATATTGGCAAATACCTAGAAATCATTTAGATGTTCATCAAACTGTTTTGGGTATTGGGCAGTTTGGTGAGGTTCGTGAAGGTGTTGTTCATCGGAGGTCTCAAACAATTCCATGCATTGTGCAGCACATGCAAGGTATATTTTTTTTATTATCATATCTTCTTTAACTATTGCTTTTTTGGGGGGAGGAGCTGTTCCTCAAAAAATAGTCAAAAGTTGTTATGTGTAATTAACACGTTGAGCGCCACGTCAGCCATCTGTGACTGACACTAGACTTTCCGTTTAGGCCGCATCAGCCATCTGTGGCCGACACTAGACTTTCCGTTTAGGCTGCATCAGCCATCTGTGGCCGACACTAGACTTTCCGTTTAGGCCGCGCCGACTGCCGCTGTCTGACAGTGTGTATCATGTATAACTATAAAATTTACACTTTTATGGAATTACAGAAAATTTATTTAAAGTTTACTTAATTTTGATTCATTACAGGACTAATGGATTTCATTGAAACACGGTAAACATAAAAAAGGTTCTCCATTACTGCTAATACAAAATGTGACAACTCTCGTAGTCTTTTTTCTGGCCATTACTCCTGACCCTACAATACCAGCTCTTTTAAGCGGCGTGCGTGGCCTGAACAGGATTGCCTAAGAAGTACGCGTGGTGCTCAACGTGTTAACAATCTTAACATCTAATTTTTATTTGCAGTCAAATGACATTTTCTTAGTTTAGAAGTTATATAGCATTTTTTTAAACTGCTTTAATAGAAATTTTTAAAAAAATATTTACAAGATTTTTTTCTCTCATAATTATTTAAAATTTTCTATTAGCAAAAGTATATCTTTTCCTTAGTTAGAGATTTAAAGTACCATATAGTTCCATATATGAGCTTATCTGTGTATAAGCTGAGAGTGCATATTTTCTTCAAAAATTTACCCCAAATTCATATATAAGCCAAAAGGGGGAGTACAAAATTCTTGTAATATTCAAACTTGTTACTATGAGGGCAAAAATGTTACCAAGTAGGTAAAACGTATGGAACAGTTTCCAGTCAAATAGTTGTAAAGTAAAATGCCAGAGACCATAGTTTTAACTCTCGTAACCTCATTTATAGCTTGCATTTTTCCCCCCCTTCATTTTCTGCCTCGTGTACAATCTGTGGTATTTTCTGTGTCATTTTATGTTTTGTCTGAGAGATAGCAGGAAGAGGAATTCTTATATGGCATATTTTAAACTACAGGATCACATTTGCTGAAAATTCTAACAACAAAATTGCTGCTGAGCATTTCTATGTAGAGAAGGGTGGGAGCAGATTTTGCCAACATCCAGATCTTTTGCTTTGGTGATTAATAAACTAGCATTAAAAGCAGTTTCGAAAATAAAACAGCTCACTTTCGTAAAATGAATAACTCATTTCATTTATTCCCCTTCCCCCTCATAAACATAAAAACATAAACTAAAGTAAAACAAGTGCGAAATTTAGCTATTGTGTCCAGCTAACCGAAAGGTAAATATGTCTTTTCCTGAGATTAGTGTATCCATATATAAGCCGACCCATGTAATTAAGCTTTAGGAAATGTTCCAAAAATTCTCAGCTGATATACAGAAATATACAGTATTTCAGTAATACCTCGAATTATGTGGTTCCTTATTTTTCCAACTTATGATTTTCTGCATTGAAACTAGAAGGTGTTTCAGAAGCTGTGAGAATCATTAGCCTTATAGTGAAATTGGGGGTGGAGGGAACTTGAATGGTGTCTGTAAGAAAATGTACCCATTCTTTTTTGAAAATAAGATAAAAATAATGCCAGAAACTGATCAAGTCACTCAGTAATAGAAGAAATTGTTAGTCTTATCAAGCAGTCAGATTTGGAAATTTGTATTGATGACATCAGCAAGCTGGTGGATTCACATAGCAAAGAAGCAGCAGTTGATGAGTTTATAGAGATGCATGAGCAAATTATAATGGCAGGCAACAGCAAGTTTATAACAATTGCAGGCCTAGTAAAAATTTGAAAAGTGTTACAGATTTTAGAGAACTATGTTGAAAAATGTATTCTAGCTATTAGGAAAGGAATAACGCTTGCTATGAAGCAATTTTATGTGATTAAAAAATAAAAAGTACTTGTGTCCTTAATAAGTCTGTTAAATTTTCATGAAGCCATTGGTATTGAAAACTCCATTTTATGTAGCACATTAATTTTAATACTATGTATTAATATACATGAAAACTACTCTTTTCCTTCCTATTTTCCTCCTAAATAGATGTCCTTTTAGCTTCTGCTGCTGTTTAACTAAGATTCATTATATTTATTCATAAAGTTAGATCCTGATTTGTATGTTTATTGGTCTCATTTATTGTGTAACTTCGAATTGTTATTGTATAGTAGAAGAAGATTTTATTTTATGAGTTAATAAAATTGTTGGTTTAGTAAAAAGAAGTTATGATTAGTAGAAACTATTGTAAACTGTTAGAAAAAACATACATTTTTTAATAGCAAAGGATTCTGATGTACGAGGAGGGAAGAAAGAATTTTTTTTTAAAACTTGATATAAAGTTTAATGAGCATTTTCCCCTCTAATTTGCATCTTTTGAAAGTTAACTCTTGTCATTTTAATACCTAGCTATTTTTTTAATAGATTTTTTTTGTTATTTGTCACTGAATTGATAACATTTTCAGTATTCTTCCAGTAGACAATCTACCTTACTAAACTGTGTACTTACTTTTTTTTTCTGCCATTTTATTCAAATTTCTTTGATCAGATTTATTATGATTTGATATTAATAATTTTTTACTTTTGCAAAATATTTATTTCTTTTGCTGTGTATAAAGAAAGTTTCAGTGTGTGAATAAAAAGGTGAAACATTTAAAAAAAAAATTAGATTAGCTTGTTTAAATATTTCAACGAATTACTTGATATTAATATAACTAAAAATGAGCCCCTAAATTGTATGTATATGGATTATATAAAGAATTTCATGCATATAATAAATGAAACAGATAAGAGATAAGAAAAAATATACCTGATTTTGTACTGTTATATTAAGTTGTTTCAAAACCTATTTACAAACAATTTAAGCAGAGTATTAAAATAAGAGAGATAATGAATTTAAGAAAGATAAACACTGTTGCTGCTTAAGATAATAGTTATTTCATTTGCTTCTTATTTCAACTCTTTTTAATGTAAACATGAAATTTATTTGAGAGTAAATTGATAACAAAGATTCAGAGACAACGTTTTAAAAATTCGCAAAGTCAACAGAAAAAAATTGCATGTGAAAGAAATGATAAACATAAACATTGCTTTTACAAACAAAATACTCTTTAAAGAGGTGGTGCCATCTAGTATAAAACTGATTAACTAACTAATGAAATTCAGTAGATCTCCATTTGAGACAATATCAAATTTTCATCACTGATCATGGTGGTATTGTTAGAAATGCCTGAGAAGTATTCTTTTCATGATAAAAAGAGAAATATTTTGTTTGCTTCTCTAAAAATAAATTATCAGAAGCATTTTGTTTTTAAAGTTTCAGATAAATTAATTTTAATTAGCTAATAATTATTAGCGTTACATTTTATTATTAGTAGTACCAAAAATCACCTGTAAATTTTAAGAAAGTATGATGGAATCAGATTTTTTAATAATTAAATTTAGTTACTTAATTAATATATAAAAATATTTAATTTGTAAAGGAAGCTGAGATATGCTGTAGTTGATATTTTCCTGCACTGTCTAAAAAAAGAAAGGATGGAATAATGGGAAATCAAACTAAAAATCTGACTGCACCAGTGTTTTTTAAATCATAAATCTACATAAGATTTTCATTTATGTCTTGCATCATTTATGTAATAAATGATAAAAAAATGAATAAGAAGCATTATATTTAAATTTTCATCTGTCATCTCATATAATGAGATAATTAATGATGTCAGTAACTGGGATTTGATAGTAGTAGTAGCTTTACACAGTGATGCTATTTTTTGCATATTGTTTTTAGTAGCTTTTAAAATTAAGTTTCAATTTTTTTTCAAATCTTTTTCAGCTCCATCATCTCTTTTAGAAAAAGAAAAAAGAGCTTTGTTATGTGAATTAGATTTAATGTCTAGGATTGGGTTTCATACTAATGTAGTTGAATTTCTTGGTGCTTGTGATGCACGAGGTAAGTGCTTTTATGGTATTATAAACATAATTTTAATGCAATAATATCTAAGAATTCTTTATTTATACAAAGGTACAAAATAAGCTACTTAAAGTTGATATACTTAAAGGAAATCAAATATTTCATAAAACTGAATCTCAGTCTTTTGTTTTTCAGGAACTTGTAGTTTTGTTTATGTCTGTGATAAGCAACATAAATCTTGCAAGTAATTCTGCTAATGTAGATAACATGAATAATAATAATACTATTTATAATATTTTTCTCATGCCAGAGTTTTAATCACAATGACTGTTCAATATTATCTTTGTCTGTCACAGTTCCTATAGAGCTAATTTCTTTTTTCACATTTAAAATAACAAACCCTGGAATGCCTGTATTTATGCTGATATCCATTTATAAATGTAAGTTCATTTGCAATATATCCGTTTTTAATATGGAAGACAGGGGAATATTTGCATGAGGTATTAAAAATAAGGTTGCAGAACTACCAAAGTGGCATAGTAAGCTATTAAAAATTGAGTCAACGTAACAACAAAGTAATATGGAAAATGTTTTCTTTGTTAAATACACAGCAACTTATTTATAATGCTTGTTCTTATGATTTAAAAATTTAATAAGAATATGCCAGTGAGAAATCAGGGTATAAAGAAATCACCCAAAATTTTCATTTTAATTTAAATATAAAATTTTTTTAATAAATTTTGTTATTAAAATCAGGTATTTTTACAGTTTTTCTATTATTAACTTCTTAAATGGTTTTCACATATTGATGATTTTCAAAGTAATAAAACTTTTTAGGTTATAGTAAGAAGTGTAATTCATATTTTATACTTAAATTAATGTAGCAAATAATAATTATAAATAACAGAAATTGTACATAATTTAATTAATTAATAGCATAAAATACAGTGAAATATCTTGTCTGCATTTTGAAATGAATATCCAGCAAAATCATTTTAATTACTTAAGTATGAACTAACGTACATATTAATAAATTAACCCAAAAAAATAAATAAAAGTGTTCCCATACTATATACATATATTCTTCCTCCTGTGTGCATGCCTTTATGTTGTAATGGTAGCACACTTGGTGCATATTCCTCAAGAGGTCCAAGTTCGAGGGCATTGCTCATTTTTCACCTCTTTCATATAAAAAAAAAGCCTGATGACTCCACAGTGGCGTCCAAACTAAAAAAGGAGGTGGATGGTTATTCTTCACCACCAGGATTTGTCGAGTGGGTCCACTATTCCCCAGTCACTCTTTAAAAGGGGGAGTATACACTGAAGTGACAAAAGTCGTGGAATGCCTCCTAATATTTTGTCGGTCCTCCTTTTGCCCGGCGAAGTGCAGCAACTCGACGTGGCATGGACTCAACAAGTCGTTGGAAGTCCTCTGCAGGAATATTGAGCCATGCTGCCTCTATAGACGTCCATAATTGTGAAAGTGTTGATGGTGCAGGGTTTTGGGCACGAACTGACCTCTCAAAGATGTCCCATAAATGTTTGATGGGATTCATGTCAACCGATCTAGGTGGCCAGATCATTCGCTGGAATTGTCCAGAATGTTCTTCTAACCAATCGCGAACAATTGTGGCCCGGTGACATGGCGCATTGTCATCCATAAAAATTCCATCGTTGTTTGAATACGTGAAGTCCATGAATGGCTGTAAGTGACCTCCAAGTAGCAGAAGGTATCCATTTCCAGTCAATGATCGGTTCAGTTTCACCAGAGGACCGAGTCCATGCCATGTAAAAACAGCCCAGATCATTATGGAACCACCACCAGCTTGAACAGTGCCTTGTTGACAACTTGGGTGCATGGCTTCATGGCATCTGCACCACACTCAAACCCTACCATCAGCTCTTACCAACTGAAATCGTGACTCATCTGACCAAGCCACGGTTTTCCATTCGTTTAGGAAACCAACCGATATGCTGACGTGCCCAGAGAGCGCTGCGGCGATGTCGTGCTGTCAGTAAAGGCACTCGAGTCGGTCTTCTGCTGGCATAGCCCAAGGAAGACAAATTTCACCGCATTGTCCTATCGGACACGTCCCTCGTACGTCCCACATTGATTTCTGTGGTTATTTGACGCAGTGTTGCTTGTCAGTGAACATTGACAACTCTACGCAGATGTCGTTGGTCTCGGTCGTTAAGTGCAGGTGGTCGGCCACTGTGCTGTCCATGGTGGGATGTTATGCCTGAAATTAGATACTCTCGGCACACTCTTGACTCTGTGGATCTCGGAATGTTGAATTCCCTAACGATATCTGAAATGGAATGACTCATGCATCTAGCTCCAACTACCATTCCGCATTCAAAGTCTGTTAATTCTCGTCGTGCGGCCTTAATCACGTCAAAGCCTCTTCACATGAATAACTTGAACACAAATGAAAGGCCTGCCAAAGCACTTTGCATTTATACATTTTCTACGTGATACTACTGCCATCTGTTGCATATTGCTATCCCATGACTTTTGTCACTTCAGTGTATAAGGTATGTTCTCCCTCCTGGTGTTTGCATGCCTTTGTGGTGTAATGGTAGTACACTTGGCATGTATTCGAAAGGTCCACGTTCAAGTCCCGGCGAGGGCATTGCTCATTTTTCACCTCTTCCATATAAAAAAAACCTAGTTGCTCTACAATACATTTAATATAAATACAAATGAAAAAATCATCATAAATATAATACCAGAATGGCATTTTTATCTGTGATTTATATAACTTTTTTAAAGTAATATATTGCATTATTGCCATTTGCATTCAGAGCTTTGAACAAAGGGAAGAAAATGCTGCCTTTTCAGTCCTAATTAATTTCTCAGAATTCTAAAAGTAGAAAATATTCTTTAGTCCCTGCTGATACAGATCTTTCTATGCTTAACTTTTTAATTCTATCCAGCTCTTTTCTCCTATGCATTCTTTCTCAAGAATTATTTATTGTTATCACTCAAGAGTGGTCAATGACTCAGTCATCTCATTTTCAAGAAGGATGCCACAGGAACAGAGAAATGCAAATAATAATTTTCAGTGAAGTGCTGAACAAAGCAGTTCTCCATATTTTTCTTTTACTAATTCCAATGCTTGTTTCTTTTCAGTTGTTAATAAGCTTCAGTTTTATATTTTGGTTATAAAATGTATGCTAAAAATGTGCTGATTGTTTCATATATTTTAAACAATATCATAGATGCTTTCTCTAGATTTTTTAAGCTGTTTTGAAAATCTTTCCAAACTTCAACATCTTCAACAGTGCTGCAATCATGCTTCTCTTTTTCATTTAAAATGACTAAAGTTAGAAAAAATGACTAAAGTTTCATTCAAAATGACTAAAATTCAAAATGACAAAATAACAGATTTTCTACATCTTATTTAACTACCATATTAAGAAATTTATCCAAATATTCTTGTTTGTTGCATATCAGTTCTCTTTCACGGTTTGCATGAAAACTGACTAGTACTTTATGTAGCTTTCAAGGGAGTAACATTCTGAGTTCTAGTGAACTTAAGAGGGTATAAGTTCTATTTAAACCAGTTCATTAAATTTGTCTTGGAGAAACTTATGATTTAAAAAATATTTTAGAACTTAAGTAACATGTTTTGTAATATTGGATTTACCATATTTCTCATCCTGTACTCATATATTTCTCATCCTGCTTTCAACATGTGATTTAGAAATGTTTGATTTAGGGTAAAAATGCAAAATGGATGCTAAATAGGAAAGTATTTTGTGTAAGGGGGGGGGAAGTATTATTGAAATTGATAAGTCTATAACATTATTGAAATATTTAATACAATAATGTTAGTGAGTCTCTATGTGAGCTTTTAAATGTGCTTTGTTTATTATTTAAGTAATTTTCTTCAGAAATAGTATACAGTATGTATTTTCCCCTCCTGATTTTCTAGCTGTAAAATTAGTGTAAAAAGGAGGAGATACGCGAATAAATGTAAAATTTAATCTTTTGACAAAAAAATTATGTTACTAGAACAACTATGAGATAGAGGCTGTTTTTTTTTTGTTTTTTTTTTTTGACATATTTGCTGCATTATCAATTACAAAACTAAACTTTGCATTTAAGTTTGTTCCAACTTCATTTTTAATGGCATTACGGACAAATAAATTTTCATTGGTCTGTTAATTATACATAATTTTATTTCCAATAAATATGCAGTTTCATTTTTTGTACAAACATATATGCAGATTACTAGTTGATTCTGGATATTAGACAAGTCATCTACCATCATACATACTGTTTGATTAATTAAAACAGTGCTGCATTTCTCTATTTGTTCGTCATACACATTATTTCATAATTTAGTCCTTAAGTCTCCTTTAAATGGGGCTTTTATGTAGGATATAGCATCTCCATTAATTTTATGGAGGAATATTTTTATTTTACATTATGAGATGATGCATTTGTAGCATAAGAAATTATGTACTTAATGTTCGATTTTGATCATATGCATGTGTTTTTGATTAGTACACTATTAATAATCAGATTTACACTTGAGACTAGACAAACATGGAAGTGACAGATTTTCTTGCAAGTGTAGTAAAATAGATTATTTGAAATGTTTTTTAAATTTTGCTTCTTTAAAAATTTCTATTTTTTTAAATTTAGCAATTAAAAATCTCTTTAAATGCATAACAAATTAATTTAAGCTTTGATTTTAACATCTTAAATAGTTTTAAACAAAATGGAGAGTATCTTATTTTGATCAATGAAGATAAAAATGTTATTTAAAATCATTGAAACCCTACTGGAAATTCCTGTCTTTGACGTGCATAACAGTAAATTATGTATAAAAATTTTAAGTTATTTCAAACTACTTCCATTCCATTTAAAAAACTTCTATGATAATTTTTCAAAGACTATTTTCATTGCGACATATGTATTGTGAAAAGCAAAAGAATATCACTGCAAATTTCATAGTTAATCCTCTGAGGGTTATGGACATAAAATTTTGCATAGAAGGATGGCTTTCCAATTTATTAACACACAAAAT